TTGTTCTTTTCATTCAATAGCGTGTTGGCTATTCTAGGTCTTTTGCTTCTCCATATAAACTTTAGAATCAGTTTGTTGATAGCCACAAAATAACTTGGGATTTTGATTGTAATTGCATTGAATCTGTAGATCAGGTTAGGAAGAACTGATATCTTAACAATATGGAGTTTCCCTATACATAAACATGGAATATCTCTCCATTTATTTCTTTTATTTCTTTCATCAGATCTTATACATATTTTATTGGATTTATAACTAAGCATTTCATTTTGGGGTGTTAATATAGATGTTATCGTGTTTTTTTAATTTCAAGTTCCAATTATTCATGGCACACTGATATTGGTAATCTGTGTCTTCTCTTTTCTTAGTTAACATGGGTAGAGGTTTATCAATTTTATCAATTGTTTCAAAGAACCAGCTTTCGGTTTCATTGATTTTCTCTATTGAGTTCCTGGTTTAAATTTCATCGATTTCTGGCCTCAGTTGTATTATTTTCTTCTGTTTACTTTGCGTTTAACTTGCCATTCGTTTTCTAGTTGTTTTTTTTTTTAAAGAAGCGTTAACTATTGATTTTAGATCTTCTTTTCTATATATGCAGTCAATGCTACACATTTCCTGCTTTCATTTCATCCCCAAATTTTGATGTTATATTTTATTTAATTTAGTTTAAAATATATTTAAATTTCTCTTGAGACTTATTTAATCCATGTATAATTTACAAAGTGTATTTAATCTCCAAGTGTTTTGAGGGTTTCCAGGTATCTTTGTGTTATTGATTTCTAGTTTAGTTCCACTGTGGTATGAGAACATACTGTGTATGATTTCTGCTGTTTTAAATTTCTTAAATTAAATTTAAATTTCTGTGTTTAATGGCTCAGAATGTGGTCTGTCATGGTAAATGTCCTCTAAGAGCCTGAGAAGAATGTGTATCCTGTCATATGTACACTATGAAGTATTCTATAAATGTCAGATCTAGTTGATTGATGCCGTTCAGTTCAACTATGTTCTTAATGATTTTTTTGCCTATTGGGTCTGTTAATCACTGATAGAGGGATTTTCAAGTCTCCAGCTATACTAGTGGATTGGTATATTTTTCCCTGTAGTTTTTGCCTTATGTATTTTGATGCTGTGTTTTTAGGTACATATACAGTAGGGATGTTTATGTCTTCTTGGAGAATTGATCCCTATATCACTTTGTAATGCCCCTTTATCCCTGATAATTTTCCTTGCTTTGAAATCTTGTCTGAAATTAACATAGCTACTCTTTCTTTTGATTAGTGTTGGCATGCTGTATCTTTCTCCATCTCTTTACATTTTATCTATATGTGTCTTTATATTTAAAGTGGGTAGAGAGCATATAGATGAGTCTTGCTTTTTTATCCATTCTCAAAGTTTCTGTCTTTTAATTGGTATATTGAGACCAATGATGTTTAAAGTGATTACTGATATAACTGGATTAACATCTACCATATTTGTTACTGTTTTCTGTTCACTGCCCTTGTTCTTTGTTTCTTCTATTGTCTTTCGTTCTATTTCTGACTTTTCTGGTTTTAATGGAACATTTTATGTTATTCCATTTTCTCACTTCTCTTAGCGTATCAATTATACTTTCTAAAACTTTTTTTTGGGGCGTGGGGTGGTGTTGCCCTAGAGTTTGCAATATACATCGACTACTAATCCAAGTTCACTTTCAAAGAATACTATATCACTTCATGGGTAGGGAAAATACCTTGTAACAGAGTATCCCCAATTCTTCCCTCCCATCCCTTATAACATTGTTGTCATGTATTTCATTTATCCATTAGCTATAATCACCAAATACATGTGGCTATTGTTACTTTGAACAAACTGTATTCTATTTGAGAATTCCCTGGCAGTCCAGTGGTTAGGACTCCATGCTTTCACTGCCAGGGCCTGGGTTCGATCCCTGGTCGGGGAACTAAGATCCCACAAGCCATGCAGCACAGCCAAAAAAAACACCAAAAAACAAAAAACGAGAAAACCTATTATCTGTTCATGAAGAATAAGAAACATAAAAGACTTTATCTTCATGTATCCTTTCTCTAACGCTTTTCTTTTCTTTTTATAGATCTGAGTTTTTGACCTTCTCTGAGGAGCTTACATTTCTGGCAAGGCAGGTCTACTGGCAACAAATTCCATCAACTTTTGTTTGTCTAAGATAGTCTACTGCTCCTTCACTTTTGAAGAATAATTTCCATGGACACAGAACTATAGGCTGGTGGTTCTTCTCTCTCAACTGTCTTCTTGCTTGCATGGTTTCTGAAGAGAGGTCTGATATATTTCTTATCCTTGCTCTTCTACAGGTAAGTTATTTTTCCCTTTCGGCTTCTTTCAAAAAATTTTTTTTTGTTTTTGATTTTCTGCTTTTTGCCCATGATACACTTAGGTGAAGACTTTTTTGGCATTTATCCTGTGTGGTGTTCTCTGAGTTTCCCAGATCTGTGGTTTGTACCTGTCATTAATTTTTGAAAATTCTCAGCCATTATTACTTCAAACATTCCTCTGTCCCCTTCTCTCCTTCTGGTATTCTCATTGTACACTTTCTGTAACTGCCTCACAGTTCTTGAATATTCTGTTCTTCTTCATTCTTTTTTTAAAATTGCTTTTCAGTTTTGGAAGTTTCTCATGCCATTTCTTCAAGCTCACTGATTCTTTTCTCAGCCATGGTCAGTCTACTCATGATCTCATCATAGGCATTCTTTATTTCTGTTACAGGCTTTTTGATTTGTAGTATCCCCTTTTGAGTTTTTCTTAGAGTTTCCATCTCTCTGCTTACATTACCCCTCTGTTCCTGCATATTGTCACTTTTTCCATTAGAGCTCTTAGGATGTTAATCACAGTTGTTTCAAATTCCGTTTTATATCTATCCATTATGTCTGAGTCTGGTTATGATGCTTTCTTTATCTTTAAAAACTGTTTTTTGGTCTTTTAGTATGCCTTATAATTTTTTGTTGAAAACTGAACATGATGTACTAGGTAAAAGGAACTGTGGTAAATAGGCCTTTGGTGTGGGGTTTTTGTTTATCTGGTTAGGAGTTGGACTATTAGTGTTTGCTGCAGCTGTGTCATATGCTGAAATTTCCTCTGGTGTCCTTGTTTTTGTCTCCACTGTTGTCTTTGGGTTTCCCTATAGACTTCTTCTTAGAGAAAGTCTAAGATGTGCAGTGGTTTCCGTTGTAATCCCTTGTTATTATACAGAAGCCCTGTTGATGTGGTGGTGAGGGGTAACGGGGAGGGGAAGCATTCTATAGGTCTATGGTTAGTCTTTTCGTGAGTTTGTGCCTCTGGGCTGTGACCTTTACGGGTTTTTTCCCTCCTCCTTAGGTGCTAAGAATAAGGGGGCATAAGTTGGGTGTATCTGTTCTCCCAGGTTGGTCAGGCTCTGATAATATCCCAGCAAGTAAGGCTCTGGTAAAAAAGTTTCCCTGAGGGCAGCTTTCTTAAGAAGAACAGAATGCTCTGGTGTATTTCAAAATGTCTACTCCCACCTGCCCCCCAGCCCTGCTGGAATTATGGGGGAGTGTTTTCTAATCTTTACTGTGGGAATCTGGTAGGATTTGTGGAGGTAAAACTCATGAAAGTGCAGGGTTCCCCCTAAGACTGGGCTCCCCCTGGAGTTTTTAACTCTCAAGCTCATCCACACTGAGACTTTAGCAATTCTTCAATTACAGTTTACATTTTCCTACTCAGGTCCTGGCTCCTACTGTGGTTTCTGCTCCTGAGACTGTGGTCTAGTCATCAGCGACTCTCTGTATCTCCCTGTTTGTCTCTCCAGTTTGGGGGCAGAGGTTTACCCTGTGACCTCAGTTCTCTGAAAGATTTAAAAGAGTTGACGATTTTAAGTTTGTTCGGCGTTTTTCTTATTATAAGGATAGGAGTGATGACGTCCAAGCTCCTTACACGCCAGACCAAAATTATTTTTAACATAATATTTAAAGACTTAATTGTGTAAAATTATTAGCTGTAAAAGTTTCTTTTGCTCCCTCATATTTCTTCACATTTGCCATCTTTCTGTTGTTCCCATTAGCCACACAAGAATACAGCATGGCTGGCCCTAGAAAAGGGGCCTAAATTCTGATGAGGTGTAGTTAACTGGTAACATGGAACAAGGCCTTGAAGACTAAATTAACTGGATAAGACATGCACAGACTTTACAAGTTGTTTACCAAACTGTTTGATTCCCCCAAAACAATAGCCTCAATTTAAATTGACCATATGAACTTGCCTTCATTTACAATCCATCTAATTAGCAAGGAAACAATTTGATAACAGGCTTAATCAGCACATTCACACTGTTATTTCACATTGGGATCAGGTTAATATTTTTACTTGAACAAAGTAAAAGGATATTCCCAATATCATAAGTGTAGAACCATTTGGTTTGCTTTTTTATTTAGGATACTGTAGAAATCTATCTTCTCCAATATAAGATAGTAAGGGAAAAGAATTTAAACTAGAAACTATAAACAAGAAATTAAAAGTAAAAATTTCATAGTTATTTTAGAAATGTCTTTAACAAACCCCCTGGGGTGAGGGGGGGATCTAAATTACTGTTGAATTTGTGCAGTGTTTTCTCCTGGCATGAAGCTGTAATTAACTGTTTTGATTCCTGTTTTAAAATATATATATACCTACACACATAGGCACACACAAGTCAAGTTTGTGTAGGAGAGATTCTTATGACAAAGTCAAACAGAGGAGATTTAAACTTTTTCTCTTAAACATTTTAGGATATAGATACATAAGGACATTGCTAACTTTTATGGCTGGTAAACTGTAGGTTTACAAAATATGGCAAATCCCTATCTTTTCACCTCCTTAGAAAGAACAGTTTCTAATTCAAACACCACTTACTGGTATCTAGTAAAGGGATTTGCTCATATTCACAGAATTAACAAAATGGTTCTGAATAAGTATTAAGCTTATATGAAGCTGAATACAGAAAACACATCCTATGAAATTAGCTAGTCATATATGAACAATGTGAAAGATTCATAAGCAAAATTTTATTTTGCAATAACTTTTTTTTTGCAATAACTATTTTTGTGATTATGAATATAGAGCCTGATCCAGGAAGAAAATTAATAGATAGCTATTCTTTTTAGAAATTAATACACTATTTACTGTATAGTTGATAAACATATACCTGCAGCACAACAAAAGAAAAAGAAAACTTTACACTGTGGATGATTACGTGACATCCAGTGAACCTAATATATCCGCTTCATGTAGGTCAGTATTTTTTCACTTGTCCTGAGGATCAAGTAAAAGGTCACAGGGCGCATCTGAAAAGAGCCACATCGTAATTTTGGTGCTGTGGCTGAAATAAAACTGTAAGATATACACACATACACAACCCCAGATAGATCTATCTTAAATGAATAAAGAAAAATAACAATGTAATTTATTTAAAAATACTTCAAAGACACTTTTCTTGATTAAATCTGTGACCACTTCATTTTTCCTGCCTCCTTAGAAAGTTCTTAATCAGTGAGGCTTCTTCCATCTTATTACCACATTTACTCTATCCACGATGTCACACACTCATAACCCACATGGACAGTTCAGTGCTCACATCAACAATATTAAAAAAAAAAACAGACCTCTTATCAGAAGAGTGGTACGTTAAGGATTCTATTTTGCGAGTTTGTGGGAATGCACCAAAAAATGTCCTTTTTAGAACATAATGGTTTTCTTTCTCCTAAAATAATGAGCCAAAATATTTGAGTGAAACAAATGACACAAAAGTACAACTCTTGGAGGAAAAAATCTGACATTTACCAACAGTTTGGGGGAGGTGAAAGGTCAACACTTAAATGATGCAGTCTGTAACATGAATCAGTAGTGTATCTATGTCGGGCAGAACTTCTCCACATTTGGGGCAAGAATGAATTGGAATATTCTGTTGTTCCTGCTGCATCCAGTTTCTATCCTCAGCTCCTGGGAATAAGCATTAAATGAAATGTTAATCCATTCCTTCCATGTTGCAAGCAGTTTTTAAAAACAGATGGTAAATTTTAATTTTAACATCAGTTAAACTTGGTAATCAATACCTCGTGGGAAATGAATACAGGTTTTATTTTGGTCTTTAACTGAAGTAATCGACACACATAGAAAAAAAATCTCCAAAAGTAATACCTGCTTCCCTATCATGTTTTAGGATTTAGGCTCTGTTCCAGGTTCTAGGTATGTGAAAATATGTGGTTTTGGTTTTAGGTACAGGATGATACATGTTCTAGTAAAAACTAGAATATTTGAGAGAAGAAAAGGATAGATGAGGATGTAAGCTAAGGAGAAGGAGAGAATTTGGACAGTGCGCAGAGCATGGAGAGGGACCCTGGAACAGCAGGGACCTTCTCAGGAGCAGAGACAACAATTACGGCCATTCAGTAGATGCTTTTGAGCACTTGGGAGATGGGAGAGAGGGATACAGACATGGTGGGGACATCAGGCAAGAAAAAGAGACAGTGGCACGACGTGAGGGAAGCACTGAGGCTGTGTCAGACACAAGGTGGTTTTGTTGGGGAGGGCAGGAAAGGGCGCCTGGCTCAGACTGCTCGGTGCAGACAGGCCCCCTGATGAGACCAGCTCCACTTGAGAGGAGTCTTAAGAATGAACAAGAGTTATCCAGATAAAGGAAGTGAGGAGAAGGAATTGAAGAATCAGTCCTATTGTTTCCCCCAATTCTGGAGTTGGACTGAGGTTCAAGTCTTAAATCAAAGAACGCTCTGAAGAAGTCAGGGCTCTCAGCAGGTCCCCTGTGTGCAGACCGTGCTCAGTACAGGAAATGGTTTCTAGTTCCCAGAGCACCTCATTGATCTGATCTTTCTGCACCGATGCAAAGCATTTTAGTTTTTCAGCATCTCCACCCAGGTCTCTAGATTTTTATTCAGCCCCCAAAATGTTTGTTTTTGCAGATGATAGTGGAGGTAACTTTTTTTTTGATTAATTAACTTATTTTTGGCTATGTTGGGTCTTCGTAGCTGCACGTGGGCTTTCTCTAGTTGCGGCGAGCGGGGGCTGCTCTTTGTTGCGGTGCGCGGGCTTCTCATTGCGGTGGCTTCTCTTGTTGCGGAGCACGAGCTCTAGGCACGCGGGCTTCAGTAGTTGTGGCACGTGGGCTCAGGAGTTGTGACTCACGGGCCCTAGAGTGCAGGCTCAGTAGTTGTGGTGCACGGGCTTAGTTGCTCCGCAGCATGTGGGATCTTCCCGGACCAGGGCTTGAACCCATGTCCCCTGCATTGGCAGGCGGACTCTTAACCACTACGCCACCAGGGAAGCCCGAGGTAACTTTTAGTATGGTTTTTTGCTTCTGAGCATATTATTTGAATTCACTAACATGGGAGACTGTTACGGATAGTTTGTGTTAAGCAAACTTTAGAAGCACCCTTGAATAGAAATACTGATCGCAAAGCATGATTTCTGTCTGAAGCAGGGAGCTTTCTAACAGTCTCATTGTTTCAGATCAGGGGTCAGTAACTTTCTGTAAAGGGCCAGACAGTAAATATTTTAGGCTTTACAGGTCATAAATTTTGGTCATAACTACTCAAGTCTGCCACTGTAGCATGAAAGTAGCCAGACAATATGTCAATAAGAGGGCATGACTATGCTGCAATAAAACTTTACTTATGCAAACATGTGACAGGCCAGATTTGGCCCCTGGGCTGCAGTTTACCAAACCCTGCTCTAGATGACAATCTGCCACTTATCAGGGACTGTTAATTCATCCCTTTAAACTTTATTGCATCTGTCTGTGCCTTTATTTTTGTCCTGGTCTAGGTTTCAAGATGCAGACTGGGGCTGTTTTATCAGTCAGCTAATGGGTTCCCTCTGCCTCCTGGCTCTTCACTATAAAATAAGCTTAGTCAGTTTTCATTATTAACACATCACACTCATTTCTGCCTTTGCCCTTTTATTCTCATACAGAAGTTATCTAAATCCTGGCTTCCAGGTCAAGCTTAAAGTCACATCTTTCCAAGCCCTTTCTCAACCCCCCTGGCCCTTAGGGGTTATCCTTTCCTCTTATCTCCAGCACTGTTATTTCTATTCCTTACTTGTTATCTTGTATTATGAATTCATCTTTTTATGTGCACATCCTGTCTCTCCAACTAAACCATAGGCCTTCACGGATCTGACCATGCCTTATGCCCCTTTGTTCCCTCGTGTTCAGTCAAGCGCCCAGACCAGAGTAGACACTTAGACGGCTGCAGACGGCAGAGGACAACCATGATGAAATATACTGAGGGGAGCTATTGTTTAAGGCAGCTTTGTTAGGAAACAAACAAAAAATCTTAAGACAATCTGTTTGGAATATTGTTTTTTATAAGACAAAAAAGCTTATTAGGATAATTAAGAATACACTTGCACTCTGTGGCAATTTTTTTTGTTTGTTTTTTTTGTGGTACGCGGGCCTCTCACTGCTGTTGCCTCTCCCGTTGCGGAGCACAGGCCCCGCGGCCATGGCTCACGGGCCCAGCCACTCTGCAGCATGTGGGATCTTCCCGGACTGGGGCACGAACCCGTGTCCCCTGCATCGGCAGGCAGACTCTCAACCACTGCGCCACCAGGGAAGCCCCTCTGTGGCAATTTTTAGATTATAAGTCAAAGAGTGTTTGACCAGTTTTTTTTTTTTTTTTAAGTGTAAATAGATATTTGCCTTATATCTTCCCCTAAGAAATCCAGGTGCAAGAGATTGTCCGTTTTTTGAACCAAAACAATCTTGGAGGCACTTCTAGGTATGGGGTATATGGATGTTGCTATAGGATATTTAAATTCACGTTAGAGAAAAGGCCTGGTGGTGCTCATGTGGGTAGATGCAGCCTTCAGAGAACACAGCTTTACCTGCTGATGCTAAAAAATGCCTGAGGCTAATATTTATGTCAGTCCCTGTGCTGCTTCTGCATATGCCCCATGAATACCATGTGTATTATTTTTTGTGGAATTTTTTTTCTATGTGTATTTTTAACCTGAATTACTACCTCTAATATTTACTTTAACCTAATTTTTCCTGTAAAAGAACTCTGGCAGGGGCATCGGTGGAGTTAGGAGGTAAAAGGGATACTCAGAAATTTCCCTAGGATTTAATAGTTAACTATACATACTAATATTGCTTCCTTGCTGTTGATAACACTGTGATAGTTCCATTTCAATAGTCTGTTGGTATGTGGAAGGGACTTAGACTCAGCCAGCATTTAAAAAAAGTTAAAGAACCAGTTATGTGAAATGTGGATAACATCTCTCTCTCGCTCTCTCTTTTTTTTTTTGGATAACATCTAACACCCTGATTCTTCTTAGTGGCATTGCTATTAACTTTTCATCTAGCTATGTCAGTCTTTGATCCTGTGAATTTTATGTTTTCTCATATCTAGACTCAAGGAAAATACTTCCCTTTCAGTGATGTAATTTACTGTAAATGACGGAACATTATTACTAGAGTATTAAAACCACGCAATAAACAAAGCACCATACTTTGAATAAGTGTCATGATCAATTTCACTCAGGGAATTAAAATCTGGATGTAGTATATAATTAGTGCCAGTCTATTACATGCAGTACCATGTAGTGGTGAACAGTCAGATAACCTTGGGTCCCATGTCCAGTTCTGTGCCTAAAAATCCTCGTGATCCTGGGTTATTTAACCTTGTCTTCTGGAAGATGGTGATACTATATACCTCGTGGAATTTTTGAGGATCACATGAAATAATATGTATGAAGGGATCAGCACAGCATCCATGCATAGTCAACTCTCAATAAATGGTAACATTACTATGTGCAAAACAGGAAGCAGGTGAGCATATAAGCTCCAAGGGAGCTTATTTATTAGAGTACTTAAATGCATATTTAGAACACATAAATAATGGGGTAAGAGTTCATTGGAAAGAGACTGTAGGAAGAGAGATATGAATGAGGGAAGGGCATCTACGTGAAGGATACCGCATAAGCAAGTATATGTAGCTATATAAGCTTAGGATAAGTTCAAGGAACAGGAAGTGATTCCACTGGCTAATATCTATAGGGGAACAGAGTGAGAGAAGGCTCAAAAGTTTGGCTATGCCAGGCCTTAACTGCTAGTGTGAAGAGTCTGGTCTGGATTCAGTAGAGAGTAGATGGAGTTTGAGGTACTGTGGAAAAAAGACTGATAGGTGCTACATTTTTGGTAGCTTGATTTGGAATCCATTGTATAGATGTATAGTGGAATTTTTCTTCAAGCATCTTCTTCATAGGATAGCTAACCCCGGGAGCCCTGACAACCTAGAATCACACATGACTCACCTCTTTGAACGAGATAAGCCTGCTGGTCAGCGTCACTTGCTCTCGCCCCATGACGGCTCTGCATTTCCATCAGGGACTGCCTGCTGGGATGAAAAGCAGCACTCTATGTGAAACCCTGAAATACGACAACGTTGAGCAGGCATTCAACAGAAGTACGAGAAAAAAAGACCTAAACTACAAAGCCAAGGTTCATAGAAACCAGAACTTAAGAGTAATTTGAGCTTTAAATATTACTGGCACTAGGACACAATGTAGTAAAAGTAAATAAGATTTTTAAAAATCAGGAAACAAACAAAATGTCAATTGACAGGGGAAAAGATTAGAAAAAAGTGGCATATTTCTAAAACAAGACACAACAGAGCAATTAAACAGAGTGAAGTAAATCTACATATATATATACACACACACACAGAGTTCAAAATTAGTTATGTAAAGCAAGTTGCAGAATAATACCTATAATGACCGTTTTATAACCTAGGCACCTTGTTTTAAGAAATTAATATTACCTTGTTTTAAGATATTATATAGATGTGTATATATGCAAAAGTACAAAACAGCTGGGGATGCTGTTGCAGGCAGTGTGGGGAAGGGAGAGAGGACTATAATGGCAGGGGGTGTGGGGAGAAGACTGCAACTTCATCTACAACTCCTTTTTCTTTTAATAAAAATATACTTGGGGCTTCCCTGGTGGCACAGTGGTTGAGAGTCCGCCTGCCGATGCAGGGGACACGGGTTCGTGCCCCGGTCCAGTAAGATCCCACGTGCCGCGGAGCGGCTGGGCCCGTGAGCCATGGCCACTGAGCCTGTGCGTCCGGAGCCTGTGCTCGGCAACAGGAGAGGTCACGGCAGTGAGAGGCCCGCGTACGGCAAAGGGAAAAAAAAAAATATATATATATACTTGAAGAAAATAAAACAAATATTAGTAACTGTCGATTCTGGATGGATACATATTGGTGTGTATTATTTTATTCTCTGTATTTTTCTATTTTCTATTCCTCAATATTTCAGTTTTTTATCAAAATGAAAATTTTAAAGATAGAAGTAATTTTAGCAGTATTTTCTTTGAAAACATTACAGAATTATTTAAAGTGTTAGGAATATTTCATCCATGACAATGGCAGGATATGACTTCGGAACACATAATGTCACGTTTTTACAATTTATCTAAAAGAACTCGATCAGGTTCCCACAAGATGCTGCCAGGCCTTGCAGGGCAAACTAAGTGTTAGGGACACCGTCAGGCAAAGTGTGCTCAGAGCGATTCTTTTTTTTTTTTTTTTTGCGGTACGCAGGCCTCTCTCTCACTGTTGTGGACAGGCTCCTGACACGCAGGCCCAGCCGCTCCGCGGCCATGGCTCACGGGGCCAGCCGCTCCGCGGCATGTGGGATCTTCCCAGACCAGGGGCACGAACGCGTGTCCCCTGCGTCGGCAGGCGGACTCTCAAGCACTGCGCCACCAGGGAAGCCCCAGAGCGATTCTTATAGCTCAAATTAGGAAACACTGTGGGTCACCTCTCCCACAGACCGGGTGATATGTGCTCTAAGTCTTCCCCTCATTCACCTGCCTTCATCTTCAAAAGCATTATTCTCTTTCAGCAGAATTGCCAGCTGCAATGCCATTTGCTCCTTTTCTTCATGAATCTTCTCTCTTGCTGCTCTTTCTGCATGAAAGTCAGAACAATAAACCTCCATCTGTTAGAGGAAAAAAAGAGACAGAAGTTACCACCCAGACAAATGTGGATTCTCTACAGCTCACCTGCTGATAAGGTGAAGAGGTAGTGCTGCATCCTGTGACATTGTCTTGCAAATAACAGGTACTTGTCCCTGCTAGAAACCAGTGTAATCACCATGACTTTCCAACTACCTTCAAAGAGAAGACACAAGTTACGTGTGTGTGTGTGTGTGTGTGTGTGTGCTTTAAACTATCAGAGCCCAGCAATTACATAGATATAGGTAGTTTAAATACTGTGTGTACCATTAGTTCAGTAAAATTCTCTGGTTTCTTTTTTAAAAATAATATTCAGTACTAGCTTAATATGGTAAATGGTTTATTTACCCTGTCAGGTATATTTATGAAGGCTGGCCTTAAGCTAAATTTAAAATAACAACAATAAATAGATGCTATTTATTGAATTCCAAACATCTGCAGCGTCCTATGTTTGGTGCCCTTATTGACCATTTTATTTCCTCCTTATCCAAAATCCTGGGAAGGCAGAATTGCTATGCTCATCTTACATTTATAAATTTAATAGCTCTTAATCTTGGGGAAATTAGTTAAGTGCTCAAACCAGCATTTGAACCCAGATTGAAGCCCATGTACCATGGACGCTTCCATTTACCATACTGCTTTCCACAGTGGTAGCCAGCCTCCAAGATGGCGCCAGTGATCCTTACCTCTTGGTAATCATACCCTCATGTGGTCCCCTCCCACAGTGAATGGGCCAACCTGTGTAACCACTAGGATATTACAGAAGTAATGGTGTGTGGCTTCTGAAACTAGGTCATAAAGGACACCATGGCTTCTGCCTTGTTCTCTCATGGATCACTTGCTCTGGGGGAAGCTAGTTGCCATGTCATGAGGGTATTCAAGCAGCCCTATGGAGAGGCACACATGGTCAGGAACTGAGGCCTCCCGCCCATAGCCATGAGAATGAGCCATCTTGGAAATAGATCTTTCAGTCCATCCTGAGTGCAGCCTCATGAGAGACCCCGAGTCAGAATCACCCTGCTAAGCTGCTCTTGGATTCCTGATCCATAGCAACTGTGTGAGATAACAAATGCTTGTTGTTTTAGCTGCTACGTTTGGAGAATAATTTGTTACCTATAAAAAAGTAAATATGCCATAATATGTAGTTTCTTCACTGTTACAAAAATTATAAAGTGAAAATGAATGCCTTAATAGTGAATTGAGCATTATTTCAATACCAGTTTTTAACTTCCTATATTTAAAATTGGGTTTTTCATTTCAAATTTAGTGGTTCTTGGATACAAATTTATTTATTATTTATTTTTTCGGATACAAATTTTTATCCATTACTTTAAAAAGTAAAATTAATAAAAATTTAAATATTCTAATCACACTGTAGTTACCAAAAAAGTATGAAATAGATCATTTTAAGGGACTTCTGCCATTTGTGAGTAATCCAACATTTTATGGTTATCATTGATAGATTATGGGCTTTTTTTTGAGTCAGACCTAAATCTGAGTTAGAGTCTCACCTCCATCAGTTATGAGCTTTGAGCCAGTAAGAACTGGGCCTTTGTTTTGTCCATTCCTATATCCCCAGCAGTGAGAACAGTGTCTGACATAAAGTGCTCAAAAAAGAGTTGTTGAATGAATGAACAAGAGTATCCATCAAAACAAATGTCTCTGTACAGAACATGGCAAAAGTACATGACTACAGTATCATGCACAAACAAAGGAAATGCCTTAAAGAGCTCAGGTTGAAATTCTATTCCTGTCGAAATAAAACTAAAACCATAAGTTCAGTCAACCACTTCCATATTTCACTGGGCCAGCCACTCTGGGCAGCTGGTACTGAGTATGTATATAGGGAATAATAAACTTCTGGCATTGTTACACTACAAATAATCTGTTTATCTTCTTCAGATTGGCAAACATTTAAAAGAGTGATGCAAGGATGTGGGGAAATAGGAGCTCTCATCTACTTCGGGTAAGAGAATAATTTTCATTATGCATTTTTGGAAGACAACTTGGTAATACTTATTTAACTTAAAAACAGTCATATCCAATGACCCAACCATTCCATTTCTGTATCTTACTAGAGATTCCACAAGTGCACAAAGACACAGATACAAGAATGTTCAGTTCAGCATTGTTGATAATAGCAAAAATATTGGTACAACCTACAGGTCCATTAATAGAGGACTGGTTAAACCTGTCATGGCAATGTACACTTTGGACACCATACAACTGTTAAAAAAAACTACATATGGCTGTGAGTAATAACATGGAGAGATATCCAAGATATATCATGAATGAAAAAGTAGTGCAAAATGTATGGCATGATCCCACTTTTAATTAAGCAAACAAAATAAAAACAAACAAAAAAAGGTTTCCCCCCACTTTTTTGGTGGTTTTACATCTCAGGCAGGATGTATGTTCACTAATAAAACTCTTCTCTAAGGACGCCACCCACCAGTATGAAAAGTGGGCCAAAACAGTCACAACCAGCCAATTGTACACAAATTCTTCCAGAGAACAGTGAGAGAAGAAATGTGCCCCAACTTGTTTTTATGAGGCCAGTAAAACCCTGAAATCCAAACCCAACAAGGACATGAGCAGAAAGAAAATTCTAGGCCAATCTTACTCAAGAATATAGATACAAAAATCCTAGGCAAAATATAAGCAAACCAAATCCAACAATATATACAGAGAATAATTCAAGAAAGGCAAAGTTTAATATTTTAAAAATCAGTGTGATTTACCACATTAACAAATTAAAGGAAAAAGGCATATAATTATCTAATTATATCATTATACGAAGAAAAACATTTCCTAAATAAAATTCAACATCCACTCAAAATAAACATTTTTGGCAAACAAGGAAGAGAAGGGAATTTTCTTAATCTAGTAAGTGATACCCATGAAAAGCCTATACCAAACACCACACACTCAACAGTGAAATGTTGGAAACACTGCCACTGAGACTGAGAGCAAGGCAAGGCTGCCTGCTCTCTCCACTGTTACACAGCATTGCACTGGGGTCCCAGCCAGTGCAATAAGGCAAGAAAAAGAAAGAAAAAAAATATAATGAACTGGAAAGGAAAAAAAAAAAAAAACCTGTCATTATTTAACTGATCTTAGTGTACCAAGTCCAAAGGAATATTTAGAAATATTATTAGAATTAAAATGTGAGTTGAGTAAGTTTACTGCATGGAAAGTCAATATTAGGAATCAATTGTATTTCTATATAGCAGCAACCATTAGAAAATGAAGTTTTAAAAATGCTATTTATAAAACTGTCATAAAAATAGAAAATATCAAAAAAATAGAAAATATCTAGGAATAATCTAATAAAAGATGAGCAAAACCTTTACTAAGAAGATTAAAAATATGACTGAAAATAATTAAAGAAGATATGTCATGTTTGTGGACTGGAAGAGTCAATGATGTAAAGTTGCCAATCATCTCCAAATTGATTTTTACATATTTAATAAAATTCTAATCAAAATCCCAGGGTTTTTTTTCTGTGTAGAAAATATCAAGCGAATTCTGAAATTTATAAGAAAAGGAAAACCTAAGGTCCTCTTGAAGAATCTCAATGAGGTAGGAAGACTTGCTACCAGATATCAAAGCATTTGATTCTTTATAATAAGACAGTATGGTACCAGAGCAAGGATGTACAAATAGCCCAATGGAACAGTATAGAATCCAGAAATAGACCCGTGGGTACCTGGACACAATATGTGACAAAGAGGGCATCAGAGTCCTTAAGATGACCTTTTAAATAAATGGTGCCAAATGAACAGGATATTCATGCAGAAAAAAATATGAATCTTTACCCTTACCTCACTCCATATAGAAAAGCTAATTCCAGATGGTTTTTAGATCTTAATGTAAAAGGCAAAACCATAAAACTTTTAGAAGACAACATAGGAGAATATGTTCATGGCCCTGAGATAGTGAAAGTTTTTAAAACAGGACACAAAAAGTACTATAATCATAAATAAAAAGACTCATAAACTGGATTGCATTAAAATTAAGAATTTTCGTTCAACAGACACCTTCATGAGAGTGGAAAGGCAAATCATAGAGTGAAGAAATCTGCAAAAAGTATAACTGGCAAGGGCTTGTATGTGGAATATATAAAGAACTCCTATAAATTGAAGAAAAAGCCAGAAAACCAGAAGGAAACTGGGCAAAGACCTGATCAGGCTCTTCACAAAAGGGGATGCTTAGAAGGCCGTAAGCATCTGAAAAAGTACTCACTCTCATACCATCAGGGAAATGCAGATTTAATGAGACACCATCATAAACCCACTAGAATCGTTAAAAATTCTAATACAAGTATGGGTAAGGATATAGAGCAACAGGAACTCTCTGTTGGTGGGAGTGAAAACTGGTCCACTTTGGAAACCTCTTTGGCATTATCTGTTAAAGCTGGGTAACATGCATACTCTATGAACAAGCAGTTCCACTCCTAGGTGTGTACCCAACAGAAACGAATGCACAGGTGAACAAAGAGACGCGCGTAAGAATGACAGAGCAACATTAAACACAAAGCCCCAAACTGGAAACAATCCAGCTGTCTATAAACTGTAGAATGGGTAAATTCAGTGAGTAATACCCTTAAAAGTGTGGTGCACTTTCCACCTGTGATATACTTCAGTAAAAAGGTTTTTAAAAATATACTGGTGGAAATAGTATAAAATCAAAACAGATATTTTAAGCACTATCACTTTCCTGTTAGAGAATATAATCGGGGTTGGCCTGCCTCGGCTCACATTTGGGAACGAAGCCTACCTGAGCCCTGAGAACAGCCATGGTTTCCAGGTCCTTCTCCTGCTTGGCGATGGTCTGCTTCATCTCATCCATTTGGAGCTGCTTGGAAGCCAGGGCTTTCTCTGCCAGTTCCAGCTTTCCACTCAGTTCCTGCAGCACCACCTTATCCACTTTTTCCGACTGAAAAAGACAAACTTATTCTAGACATGGTTTTGAAATAATTCAACCTATTTTAGTAAAATATTAGATGAAGGTTTATTTTTTAAAAAATGACTGGCTGTAAACTATTCTGGTAATCAGCAGTGATAACTTATTCGGCAACTTTCATGCACTGAATTTACACCTTGAAGATAATAATTTCCTAATTTAAAATAATGATTTATAAAAAGAAAACACTAAAATAAGGGAGAAAATAGTAAACCCTATCTCAGGGCGGGTGTAAGCTGCTGATACTCCTATTCTTTCACTCACATTACTCTTAACTTTATGAAGTCAGTGGAATGTTTGAATTAAAAATTTACTAGGTCCTAGAGAGGAACAATATTCTAGTAAAAGTAAATGAAAAACAGAAAATATATTTCTAAGAATATAAACTCAAAGACCCCTTCTAATTCAAAGCTCCTGTGGTCTTTATTTATTCCAGCTTTATTGAGGTAAAACTGCCAAATAAAATTGTAAAATATTTAAAGTGTACAATGTGATGATTTGATATACATATACATTGTGAAAGGATTCCCACCATCAGGTTAATTACTACATCTATCACCTGACATCTCTATCCATGGTGTTTCAATTATCACACCATTCTGGGGGCATTATTACTATTACCATTACAATAATTTAAGATGCAGCCAGATAAGTCCAAGGCCTCAAGTTCACTGACAGCAGGCAAGCTAGCCCTGTGATAGCTCCAGGCAGCAGTCTCACTATACAGTCATTACTCATGTAGGAGCCCAGGCTCAGCTCTCCTACAAACCCATCCACTGTTAGAAATGCTAAAAGCTTAGCCACGGAGCAAGTAAGCCCAGGCGCCACAATTACTGAGCCTGTACTCTAGAGCTCGTGCTCTAGAGCCCGCGAGCCACAACTACTGAGCCTGTGTGCCACAATTACTGAAGCCTGCGTGCTTAGAGCCCGCACTCTGCAACAAGAGAAGCCACTGCAATGAGAAGCTCGTGCACAGCAACGAAGAGTAGCCCCCACTCACTGCAACTAGAGAAAGCCCGCGCACAGCAACAAAGACCCAATGCAGCCAAAAATAAATAATAAATAAGTAAATAAATTTATTTAAAAAATGCTAAAACTGTACTCCGACCATAGGACATGCACATCACCTCTGTACACAAGGCACATTATACATGTGTGGAATATCAGGAGTTATAAAATGTTATAAACACTTAGACACAAGAAATCAATTACAAATGGAAAAACAACCCTTGAAACCAGACCTAGTTAAGGATTAACACAACTACTTTAGATATTTACATAAAATGTTAAATGGCTATGAAAGTAATTTTTTTTCTATGAGTACCTCTCTTCTTTTTAGTTCCTCAGTTGTTTTCAGTGCATTATTGTATTCTTGAAGAAGCCTGTTGTGTGTCAACTGTAGAGTGGCTAATTTGGATCTATTTAGAAAGAAATTTTAAAATGGAATCTTGGGAAAAATATCATAGAAGCTTAGTCTTACCTCCCAACCCTCTTCTGAACACTCAGGTGACAAAATCTTCCCTCCCACCCTTATCATCCCACCACCTACTAGCATGTTCTTACTTGCAAAGAAAACAATTCCCCCCTCCCCAATCAAGATAGATTACAAATAATTTTCATAATTGTTATTATAAAACTTAACATTTATCTCCTCAGAAAAGTCTACTAGTACGCCTTCAAATAAATAAAAGAGAAAAAAATTTTAAATTTATTCTTAAATCCTGATTCCAATCTGCATAAAAGAGCTATTCTATCTTCTTTTAGCAAGTAGCCATTCAGTCACAGCATACTCACTTTTCATCTTCTGTTTTTGCTTGCTCCATTTTGATTTCTGATCGCATGCTTTCTACTTGGAGCTCTAACTTTCTGTTATTATAAACAAGCTCTTGCTTTTCATTCAGCTCTGATGGGTTTGGAGAATTTTTCCTTTCAAGGGCCTGACATCTAAGAAAGAGCAAAATTTCATGAGGACAAAACAATACTTCATTTCTCAGTGGCTTTTAAACGAATCCCCAGATTATGTAGCAAATGCAAAGAATTTTAGGATTACATTTTTCAAAAATTTAACAGTACAAAATTAAATATTTTATCCTCCCTGCTTCTTTACTAGAAGTAAGTAATATTTCTGAACCATTATGCCTGAATATAAAAAAATACAGATTTTTGTAAAAGAAATTTACATATTTCTGAACCGTTATGCCTAGCATAAACAAGTACAGATCTAAGATCACACAAGCTACTGTCTACCTGGAGTAATTGTTTCAACTAGTCATGCAAATATATTTCTGTGATTTAGATACAGACCAAACTAGTAATTGGCTAGAGGTGCTTCTCATATAGTGATCCATGGATATCTTTAGTATTTTTAAAACTATGGGCTCTGTTAAGCATAAAAAATATGACTTCTGACAAAGATTCAATAGGGGAGAAGGAAATGCTTTCAGTCCTCTTAAAGATCAGAGAGAAAATTTCAATATAACAGCAAATACAAACCATTGATAGCTACGTGCAAGGCATTAACGCAAAGCATGTTAAACATTAGCTTACTTAATACAAAGTCAGAATTATGACACACAGTTTACAAATGATAAAACTGAGACTCAGAGAGGTTAAATAAATAACTTGTCCAGGGTAATACCACAAATAAGGCGTAGATCCATATTTCACCCTTAGGTCTGTTTATCCAAAGTCCTTAGCATCAGCTGCTATGCTGTACTAGATAACCATTAATACTGTACAACCTTGGTCAGTGTAACTCCGTGGAAACATACACTTGTATATTGGGCTGGAAATATGTTTGCTAACTAATCCAAAAGAACATCAACTTAGCTTTCCTAAATTTGGGATAACTTCTTACATCAAGAGAAACAAGCAAATGCAAAATTCTCCCAATTTATAAATTAAGACTTCATAACTGATTGAAAATCAATTTTTTTTTCCTAAGTAAATCTCACTCAAGTTCTTCTTGCCCTTTGTAGCTTTCATGTTTGTTCACATCAATGTTGTCAGCTCACGTAAGTCACAGGAAGTCTGGCTCACTGCTTTTTCCAGGTCTTCATATACGCTTAACAAATGTCCCCAGACAGCAGAATCAGAGTCCCTTGGGCCCATTCCCCCATATTACTACAAGGACTTCTTAATATGTTTCTATATTAACCTGAACATTAGTGTTTTCTGAATTCATATTTTAATTAGGTCTCTTTTTCTTTTACTCAGTAAAACAGTAATAAAACTATATTTTTGTATATTAACATATTTTGTAAAACTGTACACTTTTCGAAGGAGGATAAAATTCATCTCTCATTCTTACTTCTCCTGAAGTCTCTTCTTCATCAGGTCAGCCTCACTGAGTTTCGTGTGAGCCTCCTGAAGCTCCTTAAACAGGGTTGTCACCTGAAGGTTCAGCGTTTCCACTTCACTTCCAACCTGTCATCCAGGCAACCACAAACACGCATTTATCAGAGGCTAAATGAACCTCTTTGTGAGAAAACAGTGTGAACCACTGGTGTCTAAATAAGACTGCTGAATTGATTAAACTTTTGGCAATTAACGCCCCAAATATCTTGTATGGAAAAAAAAAGCTTTGGGTACAACTCTGTTTCATTATAGATCATTAACTGATCAGTTTGGATGCACTTGTGATAATGTCTTTATCTTAATTAAAATGAATCCTGGACTTCCCTGGTTGTGCAGTGGTTAAGAATCTGCCTGCCAACGCAGGGGACACAGGTTAGAGCCCTGGTCCAGGAAGATCCCACATGCCATGGAGCAATTAAGCCCGTGCACCACAACTACTGAGCCTGTGCTCTAGAGCCGTGAGCCACAACTACTGAAGCCCACGTGCCTAGAGCCCATGCTCCACAACAAAGAGAAGCCACCACAATGAGAAGCCCGTGCACTGCAATGAAGAGTAGCCCCTGCTCGACGCAACTGGAGAAAAGCCCACACGCAGTAACAAAGACCCAAAGCAGCCAAAAATAAATAAATTAAAAAAAAAAAAAAAGAATCCTGATCATTGTTCAAGGGATCATAGATCACAGTGATGTCAAAGCACAATCTAATTTATCCAGCTAGCAACTCATGCCCATATTCCCTGGCTGATTTATTTTTCTAGTTTACTCAACTATTTTCACTGTACTGCCTTTTCCCTGGCAGCTCTAGAATTTTTGTCAGTGAGTTTTATGGTGCCATGGAAGTCTCAGTACTTCTCTATTATTAGTTAGCGATTAGTTGTAGTCAATAGGGTACTACTACTCACAGGTGTTCTCTTCATCTCAGTTTTTAAAATATTCTCCATTCTCTTGAAAGTAGGAGACTCAGCCCAGAGCATGGCATACAGTAGGCATTTGATATATACTTGCTGAATAAATAAATTAGCTAAAGTATTTTATGTAAATGCCTTTCTCACGGGCTACTATGGGTTTTACAACTTCCTACCTTCATCACCTTTCCCCAAGCTTCGGACAGGCTACGAGGCACGTCTCTGAGTTGCCACAGAACAGAAATGTATAAGAGCATGTATATAAAAATGAGCCTTTTTTGTTCATACTATTTTGTTCAAACCAGTAGTGGGATAGAACCAAGATCTTTCAATGCTACCTTACGTTTCTGGGTCACATCCTCAAATGATCTTATTATAAATTGGACAAAATTCCTTTCTCAATTAGTGGGCCTGTCCACTTAGGAATTCTGGAGAGAAAATCAGCCAAGAAGAGAGAGAGACGTGATTTCCTAGAATCACTAGGACAGGAATACATCTCAGTACAATTTACAATGAATGAAATTCAGATCAGGACAAGGAAATATGAGAGAAATAGAAAATACTCAACATGGAAATTATTTCTCTACTGCTAAAGCCAATAACACATCACAAGACGCGACTCCAGCGCCTGCACTACTCTCTGTCCACCGGGGGTATGGTAACAGTCTTAGACTCTTAGTACCCACAGTTTCCGTGCCTTTCTCCTCTTCTTTCTCTTGTTCTGTGCGCCCCTCTGTCTGGGTCTCAATCTCACAATGATCCTTCGCTTTCTTTTCAAAATCAGAAATTCTGAAAAATTAAAGAATATAGAAAAGTTACTTTCTCTTTGGCTTCCAGAGGAAAAACAATTGTGGAAGCATGAAAAAAACACTGTTCAAAATCTGAATAGAAGATCAATGTTTTCAAAATCTCTTCGCATTCTCTATATTAGCTCTGGTTTTGCTTTCAATCTGATATTGGCTAGAATTGATTTAAGGGATGAATGCACATGGAGGTATAAGATATGTATAATTTATCTTGAACACTGAAAAATACTGCCTCTTTTCACGTCATTGTCATGCACAGAAATATTTTTTAAATTTGTGTTTTTATGTTTGTACACATGTGCATGCATATGTGTTACATGAGAGTGGGTGTCCCTTTATAAGGATTCGGCAGAGAGGGAAAGACTTGTTTTTTGGGACCCATATAAGTTTATGAGGTCCTGAAAACAAACAAATATAGCAACATTCTTACACTGAATCATAATCATATGAAAGCCATCCCGATACAAATGAAATAAAGAGACTTGTGGTTAAAGACGGTAGATTTAAATATACGCATGTAATTTTTCTCCCACCTTGAATGCCACTAAAATGACTTTTAAAAACCACATACCTACAAGAACAAAGAGAAAGGGAGAGGAAATAATAGCAAGAAGATTTGGGAAGCATTAGGTATGAGTGGGAACTCTCTAGATAGCCCAAGAGGACTGGATCTGAGCCAACAGTAGGGAGAGCCAAGATGGAACCCACTTCATACTGTGGGACCCCAAAGGCTCAGGAATCAGTGACACCAGGTACCTCTGGACGTGGGGATAAAGTTGGGACCTGTTTAAGAATGACTAGAAGGTCATAAAATAAAGGGTCTCTTGACTCAGAGTCATTAATCAGAGTTGAGGGGTTGGGTTCCCTACTGAAAAGAGGGGAACTTACAGAATACTAAGACCCTCAGCCTTCTGTTCCTACTCATCTCCAGAATGCTGGCATCTAGAAAAGTACCCTTCAGACAGGAGACTGGAAAAGTCTCCTCTGGAGAATTTGATCAGGAAAAGGAAAAGATTTAAAGTTTCTGACGTAAGACTTCCCCAAGGAAACCTCCTGGCCAGATCTCCCTACACATGCACACAGCACTTTGTTTGTTTGTTTTTAAATAAATTTATTTATTGATTGATTTTAGGCTGTGTTGGGTCTTCGTTGCTGCGTGCGGGCTTTTTTCTAGTTGCGGCGAGCGGGGGCTACTCTTTGTTGGGTGTGCGGGCTTCTCATGGCGGTGGCTTCTCTTGTTGCAGAGCATGGGCTCTAGGTGTGTGGGCTTCAGCAGTCGTGGCTCACAGGTTCTAGAGCGCAGACTCAGTAGTTGTGGCGCATGGGCTTAGTTGCTCCGCGGCATGTGGGATCTTCCTGGACCAGGGCTCAAACCCGTGTCCCCTGCATTGGCAGGCGGATTCTCAACCACTGCACCACCAGGGAAGCCCCACACAGCACTTTGATCAGCATCTAACCCCCCAGTCTTAAATCCGATCAAACAGTAAAGATTACCAGACATTTCAGGAAAACCTTAAAATGAAACAGACAAAGTAAACCAGAAAATAAAACAACTTACTGAAATTAGAATATGCCAAGGGGAAAAACTTCAAATAAAACACAAAAAACCTATCATTAATATCCTTAGGGACAGAAGGAAACGTATTACCACCATAATAAAATGGAAGAGGAACATTCAAAGGAACTGTCCCCCGCCCCACAAAGAAGATGAAAGTTGATCAAATGTATCAGAAAGCATAAAAAGAGAAAGAGCAAGAGTGAAGGGGGGATGGAGAGAAAGAGAGAGATAAGGAGAGAGAGAAAAATGGAAAAGAGGAACACCCAGTTGAGAAAGTCAGAGGACTGGTCCAGGAGGTCCAATTAAAAATAACAGTAGTGCTAGAATGAGAGAACAGAGAAAACTGAGGATAAGAGATTATCCCTGAATTATTTCAAGATCATTTTTCGAGAACTGAAGGACATGAGTTTGCAGAATGAAAGAGGCCAAGAATCTCCAGAACAAATGGGTGAAAACAAGGTCACACCAAAGCACATGTGAAATGTCAGAAAACTTGGGACAGAGCAAAGAACCTTTGGGGGAGAGGAAAAACAAAAAGAAGTTTTAAACCAAAAGATTAAGAATCAGAATGGCAATGAGTTTTTCAACATTAACACCAAAAGCTAGAATACGATGAAGTAATGCTTTCAAAAATTGGAGGGAAAATTATATTCAATACAGATTTCTATATCTAGCCAAATTATCCATTAAGTATAAAAAGGTAGAAACAGACATTTTCAGATATGCAGTTCTCAGAAAATATCCTTCCCATATATTCTTTCTTAGTAAGTTAGTGGAGATATTTAAAGATATTTAGGGAATGAGAAAGGCACTGGATTCAGGAAACAGGTGATCCAACACAGTAGAGATGAAGGAATTCCACAGGACAATGACAAAGGGAGATTCCAAGATGACTGCAATACAGCAGGACCTAGATAACAACCAGGCTGACTTCAGGAGAAAAGTCTTCAAGAGAAAACTATTAGACTACTAACATGTTTGAATGTAATTGAGATTTCCTCACTGGAGAAGAGTATGGTGAAACTAAGCAAATTTTTATAAAGGTAATTCTGCATAGAGATTTTTTTTAAAGTATAAAAAAGGAAAAGTGGTCAAAGCATAGAGCACAGCTCAACAGAGAACTGTATGTGTGCGTGGGTATGTACACATAATAATAATAAACACTGAGTAGTGACCTAACTGAATGTCAATATAATCAGTTTTGGAGTGGGGTGGGAAGAAGGGTCCAGGAGTGTGTGGAGTGACAATGGTGAGGGTGAAAGGCAGTTAAATCCTCATCCTTCATAGCGGGAGGTCAATAGATTATGTCTAAAATAGGAAACAAAATTTAAGTAGCAATTTAATCTTGATATATGGGAGTATGTATCAAAAGAACCAGCTAAATATGTTGCAAGTGGTTGTCTGAGAAGCAGGAAAAGGAGGTGGGGGGTGGAGGGGGCTTGGTCAAAGAATTACTGTTTTTCCATAAAAAGCTTGTGGAACCAATTCTTTAAACTATATGAATTCAAACCTGATTTTTAAAAAACTTAGTGATAGGGGCTTCCCTGGTGGTGCAGTGGTTGAGAGTCCGCCTGCCGATGCAGGGGACATGGGTTTGTGCCCCGGTCCGGGAAGATCCCACGTGCCGCGGAGCGGCTGGGCCCGTGAGCCATGGCCACTGAGCCTGCGCGTCCAGAGCCTCTGCTCCACAGCAGGAGAGGCCACAACAGTGAGAGGCCCGTGTACCGAAAAAAAAAAATTAAAAAATTAAAAAAAAAATTAAAAACTTAGTGATAATAACAAATAAACAAACAGCATTAGTATCTGTTGCAAACTGCCCAACCTGACTGGTGCACAGGCACTGTTTCTAGCTAAGCAAATCAATGGGCCAAGAGCTGGTTGGTGCAGGGTTGAAGGATGGGCCGTTATCACGCCACTCACATATGACGCAGGCTTCTGACCTACATTTGAATTTCAACTTAATTTTGTAGGGCAAATTTTCATCTCGGCTGACTTTTCCCTACTACCTCTTGATTATCCCGGGTCACACTTCATGTATACTTTCCCTCTCCTTCCTGGCTATCAGTTTAAGTTTGTTTAGAAGACACAAATTGCACGAAATATGAATCCTGGCAAACAATGGAAGAAAGGCAAGTCTGTTGTCCGCTGTCCCCACAAATCCCTAAAACTTTTCAGAGTAAATTTTAAACTGTCTGTTACCCCTATTTCTCATGAAAATGGTTGAAGACTGACTTATGTATTTGAGAAGAAGACATGTTAGGTCTTGGAATGTCTTTCCATCATATCCCACATAGTAAATCAAGCCAGGTTGTCCAGGAATCAGTGATTTTATTTCTTGGTTTCAGTCCGACCTTAGCCAGGAGGTCATCCTAATACCCACATGGGGAACATTACTCTTGGCAACCAATCACTGACTTGCCAGGTGTTAAATACTGCGAGAAGGCTGACTCACAAAATGGAAATTTAATGCTATTGAGAAAGGGATCCTTTACAGGGAGCTCAGGGTGAGAGAGGGAAACACCCATCTCTAAGGCAGGCCTGACTTCCTAGCTGCAATCTGAAAAGCTATACCTCCAGACAGAGAGCTATCATTATTTTGAAAGCAGGAAATATATACTAGATTATATGAAAGATCCAGATGTATAATCAGAAAATTCCTAAGTTTATACTTTTATTATTAAAGCTAATCATGTTATCTGAGGAAGGATGAATTACTGGCTAAACTTGACTTCTTAGAATGGTGTGCAGAACTCAGGAGGGTAAACGTGCCAATGAAACAGAAACACACTGATTACTTATGACTATTAAGGGTCTTTTTCAAAGCAAAACATCTTCCCTTTAAAAATTGGCTGGAATAATTAAGGTGTAAAAAGAATGCTTTTACTTAATTATTTTTCTGTGCATTATTACTAGATTTTGGGACTTGTCAAAAAGGCAGGATGAATATTTTACTCCATTAGAATACATGGTACTAGTTTCCTGGAAGTTAACCTCTGAACTTTTCTAAGGGACAGCGGTAGGATATGGAGTAAAAACCTACAATTCATAGCTATCATACCTTTTTCACCTCTGAAGAGCTGACGATCAAATAAGTCATTGGACAAACACTGAATATTCTAGGTTACCCTCATTCTGAATAAATAACTTACACTTCATATTTTAAAAACAGATCTTATAGTTAAAAATTTCAACTGCTTCAGTTAGAAAGTGCTTCTTATAGTGCTATAATTTTAAGATTAATGAGCCATTTATAATGTCTGAGAGAATTAATTATGTCTCAGACATAATATATTTATGTATATGATAGTATATCCTATTTATAGTATATTTATTATTAAATGTTGCAATCAATGGAACCCTAAAACTGTTGCATTATCTCCCCCGTCTTATGTGATTTCACACTTTGTCTTCATAAAAAGTTCATTCACACGTAGAAATTCATTGACTTCACAACTCTATGAGGTAAATAAATTTTATCCTAAAGTGCGTGTGTATACCACATTCTATGAGGCCAGGCCAGTATTAATTAATAAACTCCTACCCCCAACATTCTTCTTAAAAAAAAAAAAAAAGCAATGTATGCATATTTCGCATTGCCTATTTCATACCTTTCTTTGGCTTCCTTGAGGGCAAGTTCAAGTCTCTCCACCTTCTGGTTTCCTTCCCTTAGACAAAGCAGGAGCTGGCTCACAGTTAATTCCTCAAATTCCAAATAATTCCTGGCACCTTCTGCAGATTTGCTCCTACATCAGGACAGCATAAAGGTTAAAAGGTTTTCATGAGAAAACAAAAATGTCAGAGTCTACGAATATTACTGGAACCGGTTTAAAGGAACTGCTTTCCAGAATATTCTCTAGTTAATTCTCATTTACAGACCAAGCACAGCTGGCCCAGTGACCACCAGTGCCTCACTCCTCCATGCTTTCCAGGGAAGGAGTGGGGACTGATGGGTAGGCTCGACTTACACTGCACGTGCTCGCTTCCTCCAAATGGTCACCATGTCCATGGCACCAGACCGCAGGACCCACCGAAACAGTGGGGCAGAGGTAGCCCTGGTTTTTGGTGTCCGGCTTTCCTAGAGGACTAATCTCCAGGAAGACCACAGTCATACAAAGGGCACAAGCATGTGTGCTGCCCATGGTGACATGCAGACCACCGGCCTTTCTCCAACTCGACTGAAACAACCACGTTCTCTAGTCAGGAGAAGAAAATCATTTTTGTTTCTGGTTTCAAACAATTAGAGAAGAGAAATGTAGGCACTGTTGGCATGTCACATATTTTTCTTGATTTCCAACTCAGATTAAATCAAGAGGCAGTTCAATGATGAAGAAAACCACAACGAGCACTGCAGCAACTAAACATTCTGGACGCCTATGCTGATGCCAACGGCAGCTGCTCTTTCAGTAACCTACTCAAGGTCACACATCTAACAAAAAGCCAGGATTCAATCCCAGTTCCCGTCGCCAAAGCTCAAACTCTGAACCTAGAAATCCATCTCTGACTCCTTAAAATACTTTCAAACAGGGTAAGGAAGCTGTTATTAAAAAATAGCTGTGTGGGGACTTCCCTGGTGGTCCAGTGGTAAAGAATCAGCCTTACAATGCAGGGGACGCGGGTTCGATCCCTGGTCGGGGAACTAAGATCCCACATGGCGTGGGGCAACTAAGCCTGTGCACCACAACTGCTGAGCTGGCGCACCTCAACCAGAGCCCGCCTGCCGCAAACTACAGAGCCCAAGTGCTCTGGACCTGCGCCACAACTACAGAACTCACACGCCCTAGATCCTGCGTGCCACAGCTAGAGAAGAGAAAACCCACACGCCACAACTAGAGAGAAGCCCTTGCACCACAACAAAGAGTAGCCCCCGCTCGCTGCAACTAGAGAAAGCCTGCGCGCAGCAACAAAGACCCAATGCAGACAAAGATAAATAAACATAAATAAATAAATTTTTTTAAAAAAGCAATAGGGGAAAGGGGGAAGCTGAGGAATTTCTAACTAAAAAAGGGAGTAACTTTCATTTCTGCCAACTGCCCTGTTTGATGAAAAAATATTATCTAATCCTGATTTTCTCCCTTATACAAAGGCTTGGGAGCATAACTGAAAAAAAATAACCCACTTTTATGTTTTATAAGTACATTCATCAAGTTATAGAAAAAAGATACTAAAAGCCTATGAGGGAAGAGATCCTTAGGGAAATTTTCAGATAACTCTTCTTAAGCAGAGTCATGCAGTAGGAACCTGCTTACAGAGGATGAACTGACAGTGCATTCTGGGTCAGAGCTGCTTGCAAGAGACTCAGGTGCCCAGTTCCCCTGCCGTCTCCTCCTCAAGGTCCCCCCACCTCTTAAGATGTCGGCTTCCTAATATCTACTTGTCACAAGTCTACTTGCAATTCCCCAGGTAAGATATCTGGGCACTTTCAAAAAACAGCCACCGTCACTCAGAGCAACAACAGTCATTGCTATGGAAGATTATCCTGAATTAGTCACCTTGGCTTGTACTCGGGAATGAACAGGGAAGACGAAATGGAAACTTCCCCCTTATCAGCTGGGCAGCCTGGTCCGGATCAGACTGCACTGGTAAACAAATCAGGAAACATGGGTCTCTTAATTGAGAAGAAGCTTGTTTTCACTGCCCATCTGATGGAGACGAAACACCTCTACACAGAGTGGTGAGGGGTCAGTTCACCGACAAAGGCACCAAACATAGTTTTTCTTCTCCACCAGTTTGGGCTGCAACATTAAATAGCAATTCAAATGGAACATTCTTGAAAGGTCCCGGTATAAATTAATAAGTGGCTTTTTCAGCCCACCATGTTTGGCCTCCCAGGGGAGAGCTGAAAGTGACAAGACTGCCCAGCGTGTCTGTCTGAAAGCCCTAGTCTGTCTTCACATACGTGTCAGTGGAATCAGTTCTTGTGGGCCCAGGACTTGGCTTGATTTCTTTCGTTGCCACAGCTGCTTCTCCCTCCTGTAAAAGCCGAAATGAAAGGGATTTAACATAGTATGTCTGCAAGACAAATTCCTTATCAAAAGAGAAAAAGGCAAAAGAGCAGGGATTTGGATGACATACAACCCAAGGAACCTATCAAACGTGGAAATGTGAGATGTTTAAATTCGGTCACTCAAATGTAATGGAAATTTACCCTTCCCTCAACCTGCACTCCCCGTCAGGACTATAAACATCCAGGCGAAGACGAGAAGGACGAGAAGGTCGGGCTCCTCTCATTCAGCAGTCAACCTGACCGCCAGCACAGGAAAGCTTATCTTCTTCTCTTTCTCCTTGGCAGTTCCCTTCTCCCCGACCAGATTAAGGTCACACAGAGCTAGTGACAGTTCCACATACCTTTCCCACACAGTCCTTTAACATGCAAAATGTTAGAACTTGCTGAAGCCACGTTGAAAAGAAGGCTCTTTTCTGTGGGCAAGGCTCACAAGCATAGGATAGCTCCTATTAGAAATCTGTATGCATGTCGGGCCACTTAGGGAACAGGAAGACTAAGACACTTAAATGATTTGAAAGACGTTTCTTTTTCTTTTTCTTTTTTTTAATATTTATTTGGCTGCGTCGGGTCTTAGTTGAGGCATGCAGGATCTTTCGTTGCAGCGTACGGGCTTCTCTCTAGTTGTGGCACGTGGGCTTCATTGCCCTGCAGCATGTGGGATCTTAGGTCCCTGACCAGGAAACAAACCGGCATCCCCGGCATCAGAAGGCAGATTCTTAACCACTGGACCACCAGGGAAGTCCCTTGAAAGACATTTCTATTCCAGTGAGCTAGCAGAAAGATCTTCCAAAAATACAGAGATGGTTCTAGACAATTCTGTATGTGCACACCATTCCTAAATCTTGGGCAGTGTTTTTCTGTTCACAGAAGCAAGGCAAGAAAAACATGTTGACACTAGAAATAACTGTCACTCATCAGTGAGGGAGAATATTATGCTAACCATTCATCCCAAAGAAAGAAGCCTCATTTGGAAACTTCTGATATGCTCCTTGGGCTTCCTGAATTTTATCAGCTATCTGCAGAAGGTTAACGCTCTTTGATCAACGCTGTGTTTTCATAATCTTTGCTCACTTGCAGAAAGAGTCCTCTGACATTAGTGTACTTCCTGATTAGTATTTTACTTCGCTTGACTTCAGCCCCCATTCATCGAAAATTTATGAGGGGCGTGGGTGGTAGGGCTATTAAGAGCCATTCTGCAACTCTGTTCACCTTGTGCACAGCGAATAAATGAGAAGGTAAAGTTGCACTCGACCATTTCAGACACATCCATTAGTTATTAAGCTTTCGTAAGGTGCCCCTCACCCCGCCCCACTCCCACTTACCTACAAAGTCGAGTTTTCTCTTTCAGAGACACAGGTAACCTCTCTGCCTGTATCAGACGTGTACTCCGACAAAGCCGGAGTGACTGTGTGTGTGAGGGAGGATTTTCTCCTCCTGGGCTTGTCTCCCTCACCCTGTATGCAGTTTTTTTCTAGTAGCAGAGGAGAGGTCCCTCTGGGCTTCACTTACCTTCTGTGCTCTTTAGCAGGACTGCCTGCACGCCAGCTACCCCGACACATGCTTCCCACCAGGGATGGGCCGGCACATGCTGCCTCGCCCAGCTCGCGTCATTTGGGGTTGCACATAAATGCCAGTTAGACCACCCTGCCTTCAAACCTTGTTCTCGGGGGTTCCCTAGCAGCTGCTGTTAGAGGGCAGGGACAAGCCAGGGTATTCCCTGAGGGTACAACCAGAACCGCTCTGCTCTTTCTTTTCTCCACTTCTTAGTTTTAATATACCAACGTTCCTCGTAAGACTTTGCTTGAAAAGAGGGTTCTGTTATTAGTAAGTGTTTTAAAGCCTTTTGATTTTACTGCATCTGATCACAACTCCGCTTACCTAAGTGAAATGCTGAACACAGCTTTGAGTCCTGGGCTGAAAAAGTTTATGCCTTTTTTTTCTTTTTAGGTCAGTCACATAAATTTGTCAGGACATACTGGAAGAAAAAGGACTATCTCTTGTCAGGACATACTGGAAGAAAAAGGACTATCTCTTTGGTCATAAAAGGTAATCAGTATTTTCCATTTCAGCTATGATAGCCACAAGCATCATGTTATACATTTACGTTGACTACGCTGAAGTTTCCCCACTATCTGGCTACCTCATGTTGAAAGGAAATGGTGGTATTTGTAGCAGCTGTCCAGGTGAGGTTTCTGTAACTTGCTTAAAACAAAACCCAAACCAACACACTTACAGCCATCCTGATTTCAACAAAGGAGTCTTCGGAGGGGCCACCTGAGTTCAGCTTGAGTTGTAATTCAGACACGATGCCCAGCAGATCGACCTTTTCAGCTTGAAGGCGTGCCACCTGGGTCTTCAGCTGTTCCACTTCCTGTTCTGCTTCTGCCTTGGGGACCTTGGGGACGAGGAGCAAAGTGAATTAATGAATCACGCTAGGGACTTGGCCATCAGACTCGAGTGTCTCCATACCCACTGGCAAGACAGCTATGCTTTACAGTAGGATATTCTAGCTTATCCTTGGCCATTTATTTTGACGTGCCAATTAAAATGGAAAAGCTTACATTATTTTAGCATATGCAAATAAGTGGAAGTTAAAATAACCTCATGACAAGAAAGGCTTCCTCAGCATGCTGAAACAATCTGATGCCATGAAAGTAACCAGCCAGACTTTGGCAATGGTAGACTTGTAAATTCTAGTCCCAAATTCCACAAAGAACTGCCACAACTCAACCTCTTGCCTTTTTTTCCCCCCTACAAATGCATACCCACCCCTCCTCTCCCCATTCTTGTCATATCTACTCAGAAGCCAGAGCACCAAGGGCATAATGTTATAGTAATGACAAAACACAACGCAATTCTCCCAGGTATGTAGTCTGGTTGCTACAGTACTCTATGCTCATGTTTTAAGGTTGCTAAAAATAAGTCTGGTGAGAAATAAGAAAACTGAAAATTCAGAGGCTGGTACCAAGGGTGGAAAAATTAAATTTCTGCCTCTATAAAAATTAATAATAAACATTAATATTTCCCTGAGTACCTGCTGTGTTCATCCTGTTGCAGTTACTACATATGACAAAGTCATAAGAGAAAGAGCCTGTTGACATGTGGTGTTTTTACTTGGGAGAAGGGAGAGCAGATTCTAGTCCACACTCTGCTAATCAGAGCACGTGTCACCTTGAGCAGATTCACTCAATGTCTTGGCTTCAGTTTTCTCGGCTCAGAAAGAAAGACGTGGTACCACGTGGTCTCTGTGGTCTCTTCCAGTCGTGACCTTCTTAGCCTCTCTGATTTCTTCCCTCACTGCTCTTATGGACACGGTGCCACCAGACACACATACACTTGAGATTATCAGAGGATTGCAACACACAGAAAATTCACACACACACACACCCTATGACAGATCTCCTAAGGAATGGTAAACAGGCCCAAAGGCTTATAGTAAAACCAAAAAATTATCAGAAAGGCTTGTGCACGGACCATAAACCAGCTAGTCCATGAAGTATTAAGAAGAGAGGGCTTGGTAGTAACTGGCAGCATGGAAATGCCCCTCACACCAGTGGAATCATGCTCTGCCTTCATTTGGACCATCGTCTTGCTAGGAAACTCCCACAAGCGTTACAAAAAGCAACGCGTTGTAAAACTGAAGGGTTAGGTCTGTAAGGAAAGGTTAGAAGCCTGTGCAGTCTCTCCTGGTAATGACTCAGACCAAAGAAATGTATATTTAAAGGCACGAAAACATAAAAGAAAATGTACTGCCTAGCCTCGTACTAGGAAGCAGGCAGGGAAGGGCAAGACTATGCTCTGTGAGGGATTTTCACATCCACCCTCTTGCCCTCCCTGAGTACACTGTGAAGAATGGACTTTTAAGGAAGGAAATAAGAGTTTTAAACAAGGGTCTGACGACCAGGGATATAAGGCCATGACTCTAGAATCTCAGATGTCAGGTTAGTTTTCTTTTCTGCAACTGTGCGGATCTCTTAACTACCCTGGGGAAATTACGGATCCGCTTATTTGGCTATAAAACACCTTATGAGGTGACACTTTAAATTTCTCTTCATTTCACCTGTTAAGGCTCTGTGCATCGTCTTCCCGGACTAAACTTCCAGGGCTTATTCTCTGGCTCTCAAGCCCAGCTCCATTATTTGTTATGCGTTTCATCAGTTTTGAGCACTTAGCACTGATTAGCCTTCGTGACACAACAATTTCTCTGTCTTTTTCTGTGCTTATATTGTCCTGAAAATGTGCCCAGGATGATATGCCATTTTATAATCCAAAAACAAGAGTCTATCTAATGACCTTTGCCTGGCCATTTGTAGTTAAAAGTTAAAAAGTACTCTTTAGAGATCATTACGATGTATAATTCAGTGAAACTGGACAGAACCAGTAATGCCCCGGCCTCACCCTAAAGATCAGAGGCAGATTTCCAAAGGAAATTCCCTGCTCCCTTCCCTTGTGTGACACAGACCACAGGAGAGGCCCTGATGGCTTGTGGGGGTGGGTGAGTGGGGAGGAGGGGCGCATCCTGCAGAAGCAGCAGCAAAGACAGGCCAGCATGAGTGAGGAAAATCTGAGGCCTTGAGAGCTTTAGTAAATCAGGAAGATGAGGGTCTAAATTAAAAACAACTGGGCTTCCCTGGTGGCGCAGTGGTTAAGGATCCGCCTGCCAATGCAGGGGACATGAGTTTGAGCCCTAGTCCGGGAAGATCCCACATGCCGCGGAGCAACTAAGCCTGTGCGTCACAACTACTGAGCCCGTGTGCCACAATTACTGAGCCTGCGCTCTAGAGCCCGCGAGCCACAACTACTGAGCCCGTGTGCCTAGAGCCCGTGCTCTGCAACAAGAGAAGCCACTGCAGTGAGAAGCCCATTGCACTGCCCCCGCTCGCCGCAATTAGAGAAAGCCCGCACGCAGCAACGAAGACCCAGTGCATCCAAAAATAAATAAATTAAATTAAAAAAAAATTTTTTTTAAACCAAAAAACAACAACAACAACACAAGTGGTCCAGGGGACAAACATTACAGAAGAGGCAGGGGGGGCAAGGGGTGGGCCTGGGAGGTACAGTTTGGGGGGATACAGCTGATGACCAAGGGTTTTTAAGAGTCCTAAACGTCACTTTGTCCCAAGGACTCATTTCTGAGTCCTGCTTGTAGTTTGCTTCAGCTGATCGTCTGCACTGAAAGAAGCTGTCCAGAGCTCCAGCTTCTGATCTCAACTTCTTCCAATACTGGGACATTTTTGGAAAACCTACAGGCAGACTATCTCAGGCAGACAAACTGCTTCTGGAAGCTTCCTTTTGGCTTCAAAGTGCTAGGCCCCCGCAGGCTGAAGCCAACTGTCAGCCCACATCCCAAAAGCCAAGGGAGGAAAACAAAGTGAGATATTTTCTTCCAGCAAGTAGAAAATTACCCATATATCCCAGTGATCATTTCTTCAGAGTATTCTACCTCAAAAATATTTAGACAATGAGAGGTTTCGCCCAAAGAAGTGACTTAATGCCCTTTGAACTGTAAGACAAACTGAAGCATCAGACATGATAACTCTTATCAACAATGAAACATTTGCAATGCAAATACAAATTTATTAAAGCTGAATGTTTTCATTGTCCCATGAGCAGGAGTCGATGAGTAAGATCATAGATATAAACTATGATATTTTTCTACACAACTTTTCATTCTTTAGATTATTCCATATTTCTCTTTTCCTTATTTTATTTCTTTGTTTGTATTCTTTACCTATTTAAGAAATTAGACATCAACAAAGTTCAAGGTAAAGTCTCAAGAAAAATCACTGATGAGGGGAGGGATAAATGAGGAGTATGGAATTGACAGATGCAAACTACTTCCTGTAATAAACCATGATGGAAAAGAAAAAAAATAAGGGAACAGATACAAACTACTGTACATAAAATAGATAAGCAACAAGGATTTACTGTTTAGCACATGGAACTATACTATGTATCTTGTAATAACCTATAATGGAAAATAAACTGAAAAAAATTTATATAACTGAATCACTTTGCTGCATACCTGAACTAACACAATATTGTAAATGAACTGAAAATAAAAAAAGGAAAGAAAATCACTGATATCCAAGAATTAACCCAGTGTTCCATCCTCCCTAAAGCTGTTAAGTTCTAGGTTTGGAAGAAAATGAACTGCAGATGTCCATCTAAACAAATAATACCCATGAGCCTTAGAATATGGGCAGAGGCTTCAAATGTGCTCTGATTTTCTTTTTCACTCACATCTTTGATACTCGTTCTCAGGTGTGAGCACACTTCTTGGGTTCTTTGGGTCAGTGGAAATGTGGCAACCCTACAGCCTCATATCACATGACATTTGTCAAACCAGTTTTCAGAAGTAAATGTAAAACATAAAGCAGGAATCTATTTTAGACGGAGAGAAAGGACAAGGTCAATGAGCGAAAATTCTGAGTGACAGATTTCTAAAGTGTAATTCTACATCAAAGACATAAACTAACGACTAACACTTGGATAGTTCTAGGCAGAGGTCCTTCCGTACCATCTATAATGAATACAGAATACTGACTGATAACCGTAACACTCTTTTGGCTATAATCAATATGGTCAAAGCTTCACCCATTTCTTTCCTTCACCAGAGATTATCCATGACCCTTAAAATTGTAACCAATGTTCTCATCAAGCACACTTCTTTCAAGATAATGCAAAGCACCCATCTAGCCTGCACCGTGAAAGGTTTTGATCTAGAAGTCTGGTCAAGTAAGACTGCACTACAGATATGAACAGAATAAAATCACAAGTGGTCAGTCTGCTCACCTCGAATGACCTTTCAGTTTTCCCTTTTAGTTTTCCGAGGTCCTGCTTCAGTTTTTCATTTTCAAGACTCAGTGCCGTTAGGCGCTCTTTGGCTTCTTTGCTCTGGGTCTCAAAAAAAAGGCGTTCTTCCTTCTGCTTTTCTGTCCAGGCTGAAAGCTCCTCAAATCGCCCTTTCATAGCTTGATTGTTCAGCTTCATGGCTTCTGCATGGGGTGCAGAAGGAGAGTGTCACACCAGGGGACTGGACTTGGGGACATGAATGGAACCCGCCTGGGCCCCAGCGTCAGCCGGAAAGACTGCGAAGCAAGATGAGGGAGTGGTTTCCGCTTCCAGACAGGACTAGCAGAGTCTAATGTCCTCTCTAGTCCTGAAGAGTCTCAAGAAAATAAAATTGATTTTATTGACTTATTATAACAAAATGTCTATTAATAACTACATAGACTGAGGTCCATCACTCCTGGATTCGAACACTGGTTCTCCCAAAAACCATGGCTGGAGATATTAGAATGCTTTCTTTTAAGGTAATATTTAGGACTAACTCTGTAATAATAGCAGCCTTGTTTTCTTTTTCCTTTTAAATGGGCTAAATGTCATTATACCATTTCCCAGAAATGCATACTCTTTATTTTTACCTGTATCCAAAAGTAAACAATGGAAACAGCTTTAGCCTTACTCAAAGCTAATTCTGTGCTCTTTCTTCCCCCAAGGAACCAGGCGCAGAGAAAGGGATTCACCTATAAGCTATTACCAAAGGATGGCATTCCCGAAGGCCCAGCGTGAACGAAGAAACATGGGGCCGGTGCTGCTCACCTTTCAGCTGATGGTTCTCAATTAGAAGCTCTCTCATCTGCTGCAGCAGCTCATGCGGGGTGAACGTGTCCAGGTTCGGGTGAGCCAGACTGGGGGGTCCATTTCCTGTGGTTTCGTTGGGGCTGTCCCCCTTTTCAGTCAGGCAGTTAACTGGTTGGTGGGACATGGCAGCAGTTCCTATGGAAAAGTCACAAACCAAAAATATAACTGTTCCCCTCTGCATGGCGTCCTCACGAGTCCCACAAGCCCATGTGCAAGTGCTAATAAGTATTCTACAAGGTGCTTTCTCTCCCATTACATATATATATATATATATATATATATATATATATATATATATTTTTTTTTTTTTGCGGTACGCAGGCCTCTCACTGTTGTGGCCTCTCCCGTTGCAGAGCACAGGCTCCGGATGTGCAGGCTCAGTGGCCATGGCTCACGGGCCCAGCCGCTCCACGGCATGTGGGATTCTCCCGGACCGGGGCACGAACCCACGTCCCCTGCATCGGCAGGCGGACTCTCAACCACTGCGCCACCAGTGGTTTGTATGTGTATGTCTGTGTATAAGTGTGTATAAAGGGGTACAGTGAGGAGATGGGGGACAGAGGAGGGAGAGACGGACATGATACCATGATGATCAGGAATCCTAACGTGGGGAGTTCAAGAGGCTTTCCATGTATACATTTGTAGATGTTGGCAAAGTATTATTAAATGGATTTTTCCCCAGAAAAATCTTTAAGCTCAAATCTTCCTATTTTGGGTGCAATTGTATGGTATGTGAATTATATCTCAATAATTAATTGTTACAAAATCTCTTTATTTCTCGTATATTTGGCTGAGAGGAAAGGGAGAACTAACATATTTCGAATGCTTACTATGCTCTTGATCACTGCACCAGACTGTCAGTTTCTAATCCTCACTAAAACTCAACTAGACAGCCATTTTCCTGGTGACAGAGCTGAGTTCACAGAGGTTTTATAGCTCATCCAAGGTCACTCAATGAAGGGCACAACCGAGCATTAAGGATGATTCCAAAACCCAGCCCTGTCATACAGTGAAGGCAGCACTGAATACTTAGGCTTCCATAGTCGATACTTTTGCAAAGCGTTCTAAAGACTAAGAAAGTCTTGCTTAGTTGTTGCATATTCTGAGAATACTTTAAGCATACCACTTTATTTGTCGAGGGGTCAGTGTGACCATAAATAAGATAGATGGGCGTATCCCAACTGTACTTCTGTATGGCCTACCACCTGGGCAAACACAGAAATCAAATGCTGTGGGCAAACATTTTCCTTTACACATTTCACAAAGATGATGATATACCTTTTCATGAGGAATTGCAGAGTTACGGCATCAGTCACTGGAAGCTGAGGAGAGAGAAGTGCTCTCTGATCTATTGCTGTATAACCTCTGGGTGTGCTCTATAGATAAACATGGAAGGCGGGCCCATTCACCTCACCCAGAGTTCAGATTCCACTTCACCCATCCATCGCACACTGCCAGAAATCTTAAAGAAATAACCAAGGCTGCCGGAAGGATTTTTTCTTCTTACTTCTTAGCGATAACAGTCAATGAACTGCTTACAAACAAGTTACTAACAAATTTTCACTGCGTCCAAAGAACCTCGTCCCTGTGAGAAGTTCCCACGTGTGCCGATAGAACCTGCCACTGCCGACAGGAAGGCAGAGTACAAATGACTCTCTCTCTAAGAGGCTGCAAGGGAAGCTTCAGTTATGGTTTTTGTTGTTAAGTCCCTGCGCATGTTAGGGCAGAAGCTGGGGAAACCACCATGTATTAATGCCCGTATATTAATGCACCAAACCCTTGGGATGCAGAGCGGTGCTTCTTTCCCACTGGCAGGAGGCAATCCCTAGGCTCTCTGGAGGTCTCCTGGAACTGAGAGCCTGGTGACCTGCTTTTGGTCTAAAGGACCTGTAAGGTGAGCTGGGACGAAGTGAGAGAGCGGCATGGACTTACAAATACTAGCAAATGTAAAATAGCTAGTGGGAAGCAGCCGCATAGCACAGGGAGATCAGCTCAGTGCTTTGTGACCACCTAGAGGGGTGGGATTGGGAGGGTGGGAGATGCAAGAGGGAGGAGATATGGGGATATATGTATATGTGTAGCTGATTCACTTTGTTATACAGCAGAAACTAACACACCACTGTAAAGCAATTATACTCCAATAAAGATGTTTAAAAAGTAAATAAAATAAAGGACCTGTAGGAAATCAGAGACAGTGCTGCTGAGGGGACAGCCGGCCCCCAGCACTGTGGCCTGTGTGATTCCTCTAGAGCAGCTGGCACAGGAAAGGCATCCTCATGGAATTCTTTAATGAGGATGGCAATTCTATAAAGTGAAAAACACGGATAAAGCATTTTGAGCCTTTTGAAAGCATATCCTGATTCATTTAGAAAGAGGTACACTGCTAAAGTGTGGTATTTCTTAGCATTAGGTGACCAGAATAGACTGCTCTTGTTTTCCCCAATAAAATAATTTGGATTATTTTGCATAAAATAATTTGGATAAAGCCAGTTTCTGACTTTCCATAAAACTCATTTTTGCATAGTACTATGTTGGCGCTAAAATTTCATAGAAATGGGTTTTTACTAAATAACAGTGCTCCTATCTATTTTGCAAAGAATACTAAAATTCTAAGTAATTGACAAAGATAAAATCCTTGTAACGTGTGTCATTCACTTGTCAATATTAAATTTCCTCAGGTATTCAAGGATTAGACTATACTTTGGAGACATTTAACAGATTTGTTTTTAAAGTATCTAAAGCAGAGGGAGGGAAGAGTAGGGGAAGGGGGAGGGGAGAGAAGGGAAGGGGGAGGGGAGAAAAGAGAGACTGTTCCTTCCGATATTTTTCCTCCTTGACTTTCCGTTATATCTCCACCAAGACTTGAGGCACAACTGTAACAGTTAAAACCGATTCTACTTATCAACTTTTTCTGGTTGCCCAGATTTTATAAGGACATGAGAGAAAAAAAAAAACAAAACAGGGTTATGCTGAGGGAGACAGTAGAAAAATAAACCGGGTGCCACTAACCAGACACGTGACCTTGAGAACTCATCTGACCTCTGTGATGATTTACTGACTTGCCTAGCAAATGATGATCACTATAGCTGCTTTCAGCTCAAAAGCCCTATGAAAAGTATTAAGCTTCTAGCAAGATCACAGTCCAACCCGCACTGTCCAGCACGTACATCCCAGCACCCTCATAGCCATGCTGCCCTCTCTCACTAATACATACGCCCGTCCCGATTATAGTGAGCTCTTTACTACGCAGCATTGTTAGGAAAACTATTTGGTAATTCAAATGTCATAGTATATAAGAAGTTAACATAAATGCCAAACATAAGCACATAAATACTTATAAACAAAATTTTACCAAAAGCAATTTAATTGATTTTTGGTGACTCAAAGTGCATTTTATGATTTTAGAATATTTGGGGGGCGTCATTACAACCTATCACAGTACAGTGCGTATATGAGATGTCTACTGGTAGAATGCCAGTTAGAGAAAGCTGAATTCTCTAAATGTTTAGCATCACCTTGAAATATTTTCAATTGAGAAAATGCAGGGATGTATTATAAATCCTTGCACACATCCTCAAAGGTTATGAACTAAGGAACTAAGCCATTTACTCCAAGATTCTGTCTAATAACAGAATTTCTCATAAAAATCCAACCAATGATCAGAAATGCATCATTTCTAAACAAAGGTGTTTTATTTTTAACTACAGAAGGGTGAATTAATTTAGCACAGGATTTGTCAACGTTTCACCAATGAGGAAAAATAGGAACCACCTGGAAGGTGGAAGATCAAAAGCAAGATCTCCTAGATTTTATTCCTGGATCTGCTATTCAAATTCCTGATTATAATTATTGTTCTTAATTCCAGAGGTCAAGTAATTACAGCAGTGACTTGACTTCGTAGGCAGGAGCTTAAATCTTGTTTCTGAGTTGGCCTTAAAAATGACCCAGCCAAACTTATTCAATGCAGGAATGTCCTGTCCGGTTTCCATGGCAGATGGTCATATAGACCAGGCTCGAATGACTTCAATGACAGAAAAAATGAGCACATGACCTTAGCAGGCAACTGCCCATTCTATTCCAGGATGGCTCTGACTGCCAGAAAGCTGTTTTGTATCCAACAGAAATCTGCCTTACACTGACTTCTCTCCATTGGTCGTTGGACCATCAAGAATAATACAGAATAAACCCAGGTCCTTACCCTGGTGTGGCTGATTCTCCGAACCTGCTGATTAAGTATTCACAGGTTCAATCCCCACATGGATACATTAGTTTTAAACAGTGAAAACCTATTTCCTGATCAGAGACAATTGCTGGCTATTGGCAAATCCTGGTTTGGGTTTTCAAGGGGATTGAGTAACATTCCAAGATTGCATCAACTAAACTCATCACCATCCCGGAAAAAGAACTCAAAGTACATATCCTATTAAGGGGGTAAAAGAAGACTTAGCTTTTATGCCAGAAATGGTACTCTGACTTTCGTAAGTGCAAACATACAGAAAATGGAAATAGACAGCCTCATCACCCAAGGCAGGAACCTGAGAGTTATGCTTGATTCTTCCTATTTGCTCTTCCCCCAAGTCTAATGGGTCACCGAGTCCTGTCACTCCCACCTCCTCTCAATCCCCACCAGCTTAGGTCAGGCCCTTCTTGTCTTGTCTGGCCCACAGAGTACGGGACTTTCGTCTGTTTTGTCCACTGCCGTGTCCCTAGCACCTAGAACATTACGCGACATATATGGGGGTTCAACAAATACTTGCTGAATGAATTTGCATAGCTTCCTCCATGGCTGGACTCATCTCCTTCCATTGCAGCCCCACTACCTCCATGGTTTCTTTCCTAATACCAGGGCATCCCCCTGCTTAAACCCCTCCCACACAGACAGAGTTCCAGCTCCCGAGCAAGACAAACATGGCCTTGCAGAGACTGGCCCCCACTTACCCAGCAGTATCATCTCCTGTCACCAATGCCACTCATGCCGGAGGCACATTAAAGAGCTCACAGTTCTTGGCCTTCTTTTGCTCTTCTACCCTTCTCCGAGATGCCTGGATCTGCTTTTACCCTGGCAAACTCCCACTGGACAGTTCAATGCCAGCTCAAACAGATGTCCTGTGTAAAATGACCTGTTCTTTCCTCTGAGCACCCAACAGCGCTTTGTGTGTTCCACCCCCTTGGTCCTTTTATGTAAAGTACTGTGATCACACCATGCCAGTCTATGTTCCCATCAAACCTAAGTCAAGGTCTCTATTTTATCCTTCCTGCAGACTGGCACACTGAGAGCAGGCTCTCAGGAAATGTCTGCTGAAATGAAATGAAGCTATAGTGTAAGAGGTAAAGTCATACACTTGTAAAACACAAACCCGACATACTAGTATTATGAGTTTTTCTACAGTTCAGTGGCACTCATTTCCGGATTCTTGAACTCAATTTATTTTGAAAATTAGTACCACTTTTAAAATATCACTACTACAAAGGTATCTGGATGTCATTTCATAACACATATTCTATTACTCAACCCACATAATAGGTCAAAGTGAAAACAAGAACTTTCAATATAATTTTTTTCTTTCTCAGTGAAACAGATTTTATTTTCAAAACACAGTTTAATTTCTTCCTTTTCCTTTGGATTTACTATTCCATAGATTCCAAAGAACATATCACACAGTCCAAGTCTCTATAAAATTCAGAAAACGTGAGGCTTGGAGAAGAGAATACCCATGTGCCCCTACCTAAGGGTGGGGATTCCATGGGAGGGTAAAACAGTGACCAATTCCTTTCAAGAATGTTTGTTTTTGTTTTTTCGGAGAGTTTAGTTGGAACCCATAACATTAATATGCAACTTGAGGTCAGTTACCAAAAAAAAAAAAAAAAATACTACTTTTATAATGAAAAACTAAAATTGGCCCAGTAGAAGAACTGGCCAATCACCTGGAAGACTCTAATTACTGTCCTCTCTACAGGCTACATTTCGACTTGTCTTGCCCAGGGCATTACGGGGCAGTCCCTGGACTGGCCTCTGCTACTGGACCTCCCCAGCCCACTCCAAACTGGGCATATCCTGGGCGGGGTGGCCAGGGCCCCCTAGCTCTTCTCTCCTTCCGGCAAAGAGCAAGGGTGAGGGGTTCTTCTGTTAACAGTGCGTTTGCTTAACCAGATCCCAGGCTTTTGATGTTTTAAGTTTTGGTTTTCCGTTTCATCCTTAAGCAGTGCTGTGGCATATAATTTCCATACAGCAGTCTTCCTGGTGGAGGAAGGAGGCTAGACGGAACCTGGGTTACATTTTCTCTTAGCGATGCTCATTGCTTGCAGCTTACACGATAGAAACAATCCCTTTGGGGTTCTCGGCCTCATCACATATTCATATTCTCTATGTATCTATAAACACACACAAACACATACATACATACATGCCCTCCTAGACACAACGGTTTATGAAGATTCTTTTCAGCTGTTCAGTAATACCGCCACCTTAGAGAGCGGTCACCGGTTCTTCAGTGTCCTGGGCCATCTCGTAAAGCTAGAGTAGTTTGCACGTCTTCCAAAGGTGTGTCCTTAACCCCTTCCCTTATAATGAGGAACTGGCTGTACAATCATTCCCAACCTGCGGAAGGATGTCAGCCTCAGACCACCTTCATGACCTACAGGGGAAGGCACCTGCGGCCAGCCTGGAGGGTAAAAAAGGGGGAAGGGGCGTTTTGGGCTGGACGCCCCCGCTGCCCTTCCGCACCAGGTCAGGATCGCCAGGGCCCGGAAACCCTCCCAGCGAGCTCAGCCGACCCACCCGAGGGGACGCCCCACCCTCTCCACCCACGTCCCTACTGGCTCCGGGTCGCAGGGAAGGCGGCTACGGGAACCGCTTCCAGGGCGGAGAGGGAGCCCCTACCCGCCCCCTGCCCCGGCTCACCCGCCGCCCGGGTTCTGGCCTCCCTCGGGGTCACTGCCTCCTCGGCATCGTTACCGCTGGGAGAGGGCTCTGGACCCGGATGCAGACGCCGACCAGGGGACCGGCCGGGGGCGGCGGCGGCGGCGGCGGCGGGGACTGGGGAGCCTCTAGCGGACGCGCGGCCTCGCGACCCCACCCAGCGCTGCTCAGCTGACAGTCGCGCCAGCCTCCTCACCTCCGCCCGGGAATTTCCCGGGCCCCGCCCGCCGCAGGCCCCACCCCAACGCCCGCCCCTCGGCAGGCCGCTCCCCCCGCAGGCCCCGCCTCAACTCTCTTCCCTGCCTGTCTCGTGGGCCGGCCCACAGCCTCCCTGCTAGCCACGCAGTTCTCCCAGAGTGCAGACCCGGACGCGGGTTAATGCGGGTTGCGCGTTAAGCCAGTGCGACTGCCCTGACGGACGGCGTTAATTAAAACACTGTTAATTAAATGGAGTGTGAGGTGTCGGTCTTCGCCGCAGGGGGTGCCTGTAGAAGTCCAGAGCCACGGGGGCCGCTGCGCCCCACCGAAAGAGGGCGACGGTCCCAGGCATCCTTGGGACGAGACCTCAACCTCTGTTAAAGGCCTTACATTTAGATAGAGTTAATTGAGCACTCACGGCTTTCCACCCGGTTTTGCCCTTGAAATAGACCTTTAATTAAAAACACAAAGCCTGCCGGATGCTTCTGGGGCTCTTGTTCCCGGGGAACAGGCCAGCCGTTGACACTCGGAGGTTTCAGGTGCTCCAGGCAGGTGGGATTACTAGATCGACCTGGACTGTACCTGGAAGGCAGAAGTATTGATCTACTGGACCGGAGGAGGGTGGTTGCCTCCAGACTAGACAGCGTGAAAAGTGAGGAAACAAGACGAGGAAGGAGGGAGAGCCGCCCTAGTTTGCATCCTAAGCACCGCGAAGAGGGATAAGCAAGGACGCAGACACAGGACACACAAGGCGTCTGATCGCGAGGTCCAGGTCTCGGCGAAGCCGGTGCGGCCGGTTCTCCGGGTAACAGGCCACTCGTGTAAGATAAAACAAATTTGGGCGGCGTCCCAGGAGGTGAGGCAGAGAGAGTCTGGGAGCAGGTTTGTGCTGAAGAGTAAGAAGGACGCGTCGCACGTGGGAAGAAACTTGATTTACGAATGAAGAGGCTGACGCTGCTCAAATCAGCGGGATACCAAGCACGTTGCAGCTCACCCAAACTGCTTGCTGGTTAGACGGAAACGAAAAAAAAACCCGAATCGAAATAGGAAAGGGGGGACGCGCCCTCTCCTGGTATCCTGAAGGATTCAACTCCTCTATTTAGACCGCCTGCTCCAGGCCAGCTCTTCCTGCCCGACTCTTAACACCGCCCAGAGACCAACCCCCTGCTCAAGGCAAAGAGGGCTAGCAAGTCAGTACCTGCCCCAGACCCAATTCTGGAGTGCCCCTCCTGGGCTTGTTAGGGGTGCCTGGGGCGAGTCAACTCTACGGGCTCACTTCCGGTATTTTAAACCATGTTAAAGGAGAGCTTAAATGAGTATTAGAGAAGCTCGGAGCAGGGATGGGATGGGATGGGGTGGGATAGTTAGGGGTGGGGGGAGGCATCATACACAAGGCTGCCACCAGCTGTAGAGTGAGGAGGTTGAGGGTGGGTGAGCTTCTGGTAGAGAAAGTGGTCAGGGTCGTTTTCTCCAGACCCACTTGCTCCTGAAACGTTGAGCACTCCCACCACTTCTTAGCTGTGTGACCTTGGACGAGTTACCTAATCTTGATGAGCCCCATTCTCTTTATCTGTAAAATGGGGCCTCTAATACAGGCCCAAAATTCCAAAGGTCTGAGAATCCAAAGCCTTTCTCAGTTCATTTGGTGGCAGAACCAGACCCAAACCGATGCAAAGTTATTTACATTCTTTATTTACATCACTTAATATGATTATTTGTTTCACTGAAGCCACCTTAATTAGATTGTATGAGATCTGTTTCAGACTCTCTTGGAGAGTTATATTATGTAAATTACATGCACCTTATTACCTTCCTGAAATCCAAAAAATTCTGAGTTCTGAAATAGAGTTCACGCCAAAGGCTTTAAATAAAGGATTTGGAAATACAGAGCTTACTGCCTAAGGTCACTGTGATGATTAAGGCATAATACATGTAAAACACTCAGAACAATGCCTGATGCACAATGTTAGTTGCTCTTCTTACTGCTAGTGTTAGAACCAACTCTGGGGACTTCCCTGGTGGCACAGTGGTTAAGAGTCCTCCTGCCAACGCAGGGGACACAGGTTCAAGCCCTGGTCCAGGAAGATCCCATAAGCCAGTGCACCACGACTACTGAGCCCGTGCTCTAGAGCCCGCGAGCCACAACTACTGAAGCCCACAGGCCAGCCTGTGCTCCGCAACAAGAGAAGCCACCACGGGGAGAAGCCTGCGCACCGCAACGAAGACCCAACGCAGCCCAAAATAAATAAAAAAATAAAAAAAAATAATAAAAAGAACCAACTCTGTTTCTTAGCCTGAATAGTCCAGCGGGGTGCCTCCTTCCTCTCTCACACTTCCATGAGTAGACAGAATCTAAGTGCAGCTAAGGAAACTGAAATTATGACATGCTCTCTGCTGTTCACTGATGTGGTTTTGCGGTAGGTTAATGCAAAGCAGCGTGGTAGGCTATTTAGTGAGATACTCATTTGTGTCATGCTTTCTGTGCCCCTCCCTACCCACCCGCTTTGTTTGGAGAATACAGCTAATCCCTTTGTGTTTCCTATCACAAGGGTATTTGCAAGATTCTTGGAGGACCAACCTTCCTTCTTGTCTCTTGAGAAAGCCCAATCGTCATCTACCCCAGGTGACCTGGAGGGAGAGAGCTGAGAACCCAGGTGGGGTGGGGGTCTTTCACAGCATTTGGGCGAATGGGAAGGGGGTGGAGGTTGGCGGTCTCCTGAGCATCAAGGACTCAAGCCTCAGCCCCTGCAGCAGCAGGACACATGGCCAGCTCTTGGAGTGACACAGCTATATGAGACATCTATTGGACCTTGGGGACTTGTTCTCACAGCTTCTGCAGATTCTGGAATGCTGGCTTGTCCCTGGAAATAACAGAGCAACCTGCCCTCTCCTTAGAAGAAGCTTTACGGTAGATGGTGAGGATACCAGCATCAATGGACTGATCAACTTAACGGGCTGAGGAATAAATGGCCCTAACTCCAGTGGATGCCAAAAGCCCTCCTGGATTTTTCCATGACCCCAGGGAAGGAGAGCCTCCACTCAAGGCCTCAGTGATGCTCAAGAGTGGATTTCCCTACACTCCTACAGGGCAAGGGCTGCGTGCACAGAAAGTAAAGATATGTAACATATTTATGCATATTTGAGCTACTGGTAGAAAAATATACACACTCGGGATACCAGATCCAAAGACTACCTAAACTATGATCTACCTATACTATGACTCCATATATATGAAATACCTAGAAAAGGAAAGCACAGACGGAAAGCACGCCTGTGGTTGCCTGGGGCTGGGAGTGGCTTGGACTGCAAACAAGCTTGCGGGAATTTTGGGGGATTGAGGAAAATATTCTAAAACTGGTTTGTAATGAGGACTGCACAACTCTCTCAGCATAAAGATTATTGAATTGTACACTTACAATGGGTGAATTTTAAGGTATGTAAATCGTATCTCAGTACAGCTGCAAAAACAACACCGAGGGAATTCCTTGGCGGTCCAGTGGTTAGGACTCCACGCTTTCACTGCTGAGGGCATGGGTTCGATCCCTGGTCAGGGAACTAAGATCCCACAGGCTGCGTGGTGCAGCCCGCCCCCCCCCAAAAAAAACCAAAATAACAACAACAACAACACAAAAAACCACCAAAAATAATACCAGAAGTAAATCACCATGCTATCCAGTAAAGCGTACGCCCCTTCTTCTGTTGGGCCAGCGGTGAAGTGGCTGTGTCAGTCACCTACTCTGTAGCTGAGCTGGGTCTGGGCTTCGTTTGAGCTTTAGTTGGATTCAGTTCACGATTGGCTCCAAATATTCTGAGGATGGCTTCCTCAAAAAAAGTTCAACAGAATTACCATATTACCCAGCAATTCTACTCCTAGGTATACACCCCGAAGAACTGGAAACAGGGACTCAGGCGAGTGCGTGTAAATGCCTCTCATAGGTCGCTTCCCTCTTACTGATACCTGGTGTTTCAGCAACTCCCTGGATGAGGAGTGAGGCTTCCGTCAGAGCCAGGCTCTGGGATTAGGGGCTACTCTGTCGCCCATTTAGCAGCAGCCTCAGACAAGTATCTGGAGTCCCAGGAACAATGCCTCCGCTTTGAGAAAAGCCGGAGCAGTGTGTGTGTGTTTGTGTGTGCGTGTGTATGTGGTCTCTACTTCCTTCCTCTCCTTTGCCCCCCAGCTCTAGACCTTGAAACAGTAAACTCATTGGGGAGAAGCTGGGTGTTTATCTTTTAGGTGATCTTCAGTCCTCTGTGAACATTGAATAAGAAGACCACAATAATACTGCTACTTCCTGCTTCTTCCCATTGTGTAAACACAGACGCTGTCATACTCCCTGCCACCTTTTCCATCAAGTCAAAGTAGAGCATGGAGGAACACTGAATTCTTGTTTCTTGATGTGGCACGTATATACAATGGACTATCACTCAGCCATAAAAAGAAACGAAATTGAGTTATTTGTAGTGAGGTGGATGGACCTAGACTCTGTCATACAGAGTGAAGTAAGTCAGAAAGAGAAAAACAAATACTATATGCTAACACATATATATGGAATCTAAAAAAAAAATGCTTTTGAAGAATGTAGGGGCAGGACAGGAATAAAGACACAGACATAGAGAATGGACTTGAGGACACGGGGATGGGGAAAGGTGAGCTGGGACAAAGTGAGAGAGTGGCATGGACTTATATATACTAGCAAATGTAAAATAGATAGCTAGTGGGAAGCAGCCGCATAGCATAGGGAGATCAGCTCGGTGCTTTGTGATCACCTAGAGGGGTGGGATAGGGAGGGTGGGAGGGAGATGCAAGAGGGAGGAGATATGGGGATATATGTATATGTATAGCTGACTCACTTTGTTATACAGCAAAAACTAACACACCATTGTAAAGCAATTATACTCCAATAAAGATGTTTAAAAAAATTCTTGTTTCTTTGTTTTACTTTAAAAG